ACCCGATGGGGTCGGGGAAGTCAGGTCCCCGTCGGGGATGGGGAAAACTGCCATCCCTGGGCAGCATGGCCTGCACTTTGCGCGGGCCGCCCATGGGCCGTGCCAGCCCATTTTACATCTCTAACTACCATTAAATTAGGGTTCTGGTCTAGAGAGAGAGAGAGAGAGAGAGAGAGAAAGAGAGAGAGAAAGATTAATAAAGGAGGAGACTTGTCATCCTCAGATCTCCAACATGTAGAGGAAGAGACTTATTACCCTCGTATCTGAAAGTTGTAAAGGAGGAGGAGACTTGTTGTCCTCAGATTTCAGAGTTGTAGAGGAGGAGACTTGCCGCTCATAAAGGAAGAGAAATTTGTCAAGATTTTTCTCCAAGATATAAATAAATGATGAAAGACTAGAATCCTTAATTGATGGAGATCTGTTGGACACCCATGACCCAACCCTCCCAACCCATTTAAAATTTTGTTATTGGGTTGGCCCACCCATTAAAAACCCAATATTAAAAGTTACGACCCAGCCCGATAATAAATGGGTGGGTTGGGCGGGTTGAGCGGGTTGGGTTAAAAATTGCCTCCCCTAGTGCCATGATCGATGTATTTGACTTTTATTTGTCAAATATCAGTTCCTCTTAATTACCAAAATAAAGGAAAGCCCAAAAAAATTAGACACCACAAATCTAAGAATAAGGACCAATGACAAGGTATAAATGACAACAATGAATGGGTTAAGGCATTTAAAGAATGACAATAAGAATATGTTTTAAAATATGAATTTATTTTCATATTTGTATCTTTTTTCTTTTAACTTGCAACATGTACCATGACATGCACCTTTTTTTTCATGGGTAAAATAAGATTTCATTAAATAAAATAAAAATACAATCTAGTAGGTAGCAAGGCATCACTCACTTGTAACATCAAAGAAAAAGTACTACAAATCAAAATAAGTTTTCCAATTTAAAAATTAGGAATTTCAGAACTTCCCCTAACTTTTCCGTCCTCAATTTGGTAGCACCATAAAGGCATAAACCAATTAGCCACAATTTTGTACAAGCTGCAAGTTTTCTCTCATAAAAAATTATTCTATTCCTCTTTTTCCATATATTCAAACATATTGCAAGCGAAATGCAGTTCCAAATCACTTTAGCTTTCTTACTTCCTCTCAACTTTGGCCATTAAGAGAAGATTTATGCAGTTGAACATGAATTAAAATCTGAGACCCTGAATACAGCAATGAACACTGAACAAATCTCTACATGAAACCTGCAAAATTGCAAAAAAAAACAACTGGCTGACATTCTCCTCCTGCTCTAAAGGCCTTTTAGCCATACTGATCAAGTCCCTTGATTTCAAGTGGTCCATAGTCAAGATACTCCATGGCCACCTACCACACAAAAGCTTCCGCCCTGGGGGGAATTGGATTTCACCACCCATCCTCAAATTGGCTTGAGAATGAACTGTTCCTATTGAGAGCCAAATAACAATGGCTAATAGGAACTTCAACCTCACCCAACCCATACAACCTTGGACACAATTCACTTAGTTTCACTATCCCACACTAATTATCCTCTCAAAACCTGATCCTTGAACCATCTCCTACTAAAAAACTTGTTAAATTACCAAACTCCTAATTGAATATCATAATCCCTTTCTACAAACTCACCCCACCCCATATCAAGATCTCACCTCTCTAGATTCCCAACCAACCCTTGCCATCCCATACTTCCCCACCACAATCCTCATTCATAATGAACTTTCCTCCCTCCCTAAACCAAATCTCCATAACCACTTCCCAACCAAGGCCTTAAAAACTTCCACTCTTCTAAACCCTAACCCTATACCAATTCACCAAATGAAATTTCTTTCCCCCTCTTAACTCTTCCCCATGCACACCCTCCCATAAGAAATCCTTTTGAACAGTTTCAATTCATTCAGCCACTTGTGTTAGAATCTTCGGTAATGACATATGATGGTATGCACCTTAAGCTAGTGGTATTAAGGCCTCATTTGTTTCCCATATTCTATTGTCGGGGGGGGGGGGGTTAGTCAATGGGATTGTGATTCCCATTGGACAACTCTCCCACATTCTTTTTGAGGATTTAGGTGGGACCCACAATAAATATGTTTTCCTTAGGTATCACCTATGTAGGGAAGTGTTACCCTTCTCCTATTTGGAAAAGTTATCCTTCCTAAGTGGAGAGTAAATGCTCAAAATACAATTTTTTAAAAATACCCATCAAAGCAATATAATCCAAAAAACATGAAATTGGGACCAAGGGCAAAAATGGCAAAATATGGAAAATTAACTACTTATCCAGGAAAGTGAGTGATGCAAAAGAACATGGAATTTTTTTAAAGGATCTCAACCAAGAATATGGGAAAGTTGGGAGGCTTCATTTACTTGAATAAATTTTACAAAAAATAACATGGGTTAGTGCACTTACTCGGGTAAATAACTATTGATAAGCAAATGAGGCCTAAGATGAAAGCCCATCTCGCTAGTATTTTTTTTTTCATGGATTAGGTTTGCTTTTTACAAAAAATTCATAAATTACTAGCTAATGAATTTATGCAACTCTTGAACAAAGTTTTTAAGTATTTTCTAATGATACGAATGTGTGGCACTGGTCCAGTGACCGAAACTCAGTTTTATTGCACCCATATACACAACTAATACTCTCATGATATTCCACCCATATACTAATACTCCCATGACATTGTTTTGTATTGTGTCTAGTCTAGTGCATATATTAGAAAAAGGGTACTGACATACTCATTAACTCCTGCTCAAGTATTGGTTTGATTTCATTTGTTTGATGAACTACTCTACCTGAAATTAATTATTATTATTATTATTTTTGTATAATAAAAAATTATTAAAAGTATTATATAAAATATAAGGGAAAATCTATGATGCGGGAAAGATATAGTATCGAAAGAGTTTTGATCAATCAAAATCTACCCATGAATTTTGATAAATAACACCTAATTGACTACCACATTTATGATACCAGTTGATTGGTAAAAAAAATTTCAGATATCATATCTTTCCCATATTGTAGTCAAACCCAAAATATAAATAATTATTAATCATTTAAAAGTTAAAAGTATAAAACAATTATATACTCTTATGTGTTTTGCCTTCGCTTAATAAATCCTATGCATCGCACGGGTCCCCACTATTATTCTATATTTAAGGCAACTATTTAAATTCAAATCTGTCAATTGGGTTTTCTTAAGTGCCATTGGATTCCCCTAATTATACCCCACTGTTTTTTTTTTTAAGATAATAAATCTACTTTTGCACCATACTCTAATTACTTGCTTTTTTTTGAAGCCATATACTATAATTACTTGTTTTAGTTAAAATTTTATTCATTTCCTCATTTTAATTAGTAGATATCTGTCAATAAATGTTAAAATTTTGATCATTAAAGTACATATATATATATATATTTATTTTTTCTGAAAATTAATATATTCTCGTATACATGTATATTTTAATTCTGTTGTCATTTTTCAAAATCAACCAAATATTCTCGTAGTTCATATTTAACATAAACTATTAAATAATGTATTTCTTATGTGTATATAGTTTATTCGTAGTCATATAAAATTTATATTAATGTTATTATTTTTTGTTGATATATTTGAGTTTTTCTAATTGTATTCGTGTGCCTTAATGTTTATGTTATATTATATCCATGCATATTGGAAGCATATCGTGTTATATGTCTAAGATGGGATCACAAAGGGTTGCATAAACTAGTTATTTACTAGTCCTTCTATGCCGCATACATCATGCTACCATTGCCGCATACATTGGCTCAGCTTCAGCTTGGACTGACAAATCCCAGTTTTGCTTCCGGTTGAGCCGGGACCCGGATAGGAGGATGGCATTAAGGTTTGGCTTGGATTGGTTGTATGCCTGGATCATTTCAACCAATTTGAATTCCTCAGCCCATTTAGGTTAATGGGTTGATTATTCTCATCATGGTTTGCCGCATCAATTGGCTCAGCTTCAGCTTTGACACTGACAAATCCCAGTTTTGCTTCCGGTTGAGCCGGGACCCGGATAGGAGGATGGCATTAAGGTTTGGCTTGGATTGGTTGTATGCCTGGATCATTTCAACCAATTTGAATTCCTCAGCCCATTTAGGTTAATGGGTTGATTATTCTCATAATGGTTTGATCTAGGCTTCATATTGATTTCAAGGAATCTTACCTTCAGATTGGTGGGACTGGGGTTGTCCATGCCCAGGCCCAGGACTTAATCCAGTAGGCATCAGTGGTTTTAACATCTCTCTCCCAGATCCTTTAAAACCCTAATTTCTCTCACCCGGTAAAGAATAGGAAAAAGAATACAAAGGCAAAAGAAACCCTGGTCCTGCAATGGACTTAAAAGCCATCCAATGACGTGAAGGTCATCTCAAAACCCTAACAAGTGTAGCTCAGTAAGGAGGGTCGGATTCTGAGACTGAAATATCGATTTCAGTAGGCGATACTCTTCGTCGGAACCTGTTCACCAGAACCTCAATTTTGTCACTTGATTCTGTTTTACAGCTTGAATTCAACTTAGATCTATAATCTGATTAAAAATGGACAAATCACTAGAAGTTTTGAGCGCTGCAGCCGCGTCAGTTTCGACCCCATCTACCAAGCAACGACTTCAGATCTTCCGCAACGATATACCGTCGGTTCTGAACAATTCAGGTCCATTTTTGCGCACATTTTGAATACGCACAAGCGTTTCAATGAATTGAGGATGCATTTAGATGTTCTGTTATGAAGAATTGAATGATGTAAATTGAGTTTGTCATCTGGTCAATGATGACATGAAATGGAACTTCATTTCTCTACTACTGATACTGATATTACTAGTAGTATGCTTACTTCTCCTAATCTGTAGTTAATTGACTTGGATTTTGCACTTCAGTGGTAGTAATTTGTTTATTATAAATTCACATGCACATTGTTTATTCGTTGTTACATATCGATTTATTAGTGTTGACATATATTCTGCATTTGGGTGCACGTAGAATGACAGAAAACAAATGATTTCCATGGAAAACAATATTCAGTAGGGAACCGAATTATATTCCTATTTTTCCCGGTGTTGTTTAACTCGGAAAACAAACCTAAACAGTTGAGGAACAAGTTGTTCTTTTCCTTTGTGTCATGAGGCGCATTTGGCATACCAGAGGCACACGCCTCATGCAAAAGACGTTTGAGGTGTACTCCTCAGATGCATCCATGCCTCCAGCATATTCCTCAAGGCGTTTTGAGTGTGTCTCCGGGTGTATGCCTCGACGCTATTTAAAACATTGGGTGTTAATAAGGAGCTTCTATTCTCGGGGGGGGGGGGTAACAAGTGGGGGTTCTATGTGAAAATTATTAAATTAGTTGTAACAGGAAGGTTTTAGGTAGTGAAAACTAGCCTAACAGAAGAAAAACAACCTTTTTGTATATACATTTTTTTTATGACAATTAATAAGTTACTCTGCTAACAATAAAAAATAGTTCAAATCTAGTGACAGTATGCTGTAGCTCACTACCTCCCCCCGCCCCAATGTCCAACAGGGTGCTTATAGAGCATGAGTCAAATGGCAATTTGGTGGCTCAATTCTAATGCAGAAGGTTCTTGGTTTTTTTGAAACAACCAGAGATAGGATTTGGAAGCTACTATGAACATCTTGTTCAGTTGGACCCCTTGGTTTAGAATACTTCATGATCTGAACTTGAGGAGTGTACTAGTCTCAAGGATTTTATGGCATTAAATGGAAGTACTCTAGAATATTCATAAAGGATCAATAAAGCAACTTATTCCTCCCAAGTCCTAATTTCTCCCCTAGGGAGGCCATAAGCAATTGGGTTGGCAGGTGCTGGATCCATCTGAATAACATGTTAGGGCTTCAATAAAGCTTCCTAATGAAGTGGGCATCATGATAAATTTGGAGGATTGTCATAGGCCATCCTCGTTTAAGCATGGAATGTAGGTCAAATCGTTTGAGGAGGAGAGTTCAAAGGAAGATGATGAGGGTAGACAAAAAAGAATGTTGTTAGCAGAGAGCCAAAAAATTTAGGGCATTAAGAAGAGCCAAAAAATTCCGTAGACAAAAAAGAATGATGGGCATTTCTTTCATGCCATGTGGTCCAAATAATCGCCAAGGGGATCATGGCCCAGGTTGATCTGCCTCTCTTTCTCATATTCTGAACATGCCACCTGACTAAAAGTTAAGAATAGAATTAGGATGACACCATTGCCATCGAATTGCATTCTGGAAATTGGCCCACAACCTGCTGGTGAATTTACAGTGAAAGAACAAATGACTATAAGCTTCCAGATACTCTTCACGTAGAACACATGCAGTGTTGTCCAGGACCGGCCCCTTCTTGTGATATATTCCTTAGATTGACTTTTGTCCAGAACCACCAGCCATGTAAAAAACTTTACCTTTGAAAGGGCGACATTACCCCATATCTCTTTAAAGGGGAATCTCTTGTCTCTCCTTTCAGTTAGCTTCCTATAGAATGATTTGTCTGGGAATTTGCAGAAGTATGTCTCATCTGCAATTTGAGTAATTGCAGGTATATTTTTTCTTTGGCTTTTGGATAAGGGGCAATAGATTCTGTTTTCTATATTTAAGTTTGATTGATAACAAATTGTGTTTTCCTTACCAGTCAAAGAAAGAAGTTTTCCTCWGCTGCCATCCAATAAAGAATTTGTTTTCTAGCTTGATACCAGTGTTGGAGGAGATGATGACAAATAAGATGGTAGAAGTTTGATGAAGATAACTTTATTTTCTTTTCCTCTTTATTTTTCTTCTCATGCTAAATGACCACAAATGGAGGAACTAGACCTTTCAGTTTCCTTCATGTTTGTCCTAATCAGAACATTTTTGGGAGGGGGATTTGCATGAGATTAGTTATGCTTTATTTCATTTTTAAACATGAGAGTGGACGTTACTTTTTGTGCAATATAATTTTTTCCTTGACTATTGCCATTCATGCCATCTAACCCAAGAAAAAACAAGGGGGGAGTTGCTGATTCTTTCTCTTATTTGGACAGATGCTTGTCATGTGAAGCAGTTAAGCTGTATGTGTGTAATGGAATAATGGTACTTTAGACAAGTATGACTTAGCATCTCTATGTGCACTTCTATCTCTTACTTTGGGCTCCCAATGTTACTGTATATTTAAAAGTGGTACCGATAAAATAATATATATTCTAATCTGGGTTACTCAGTTGCAACTATAGGATTACATATCGGATTTCATTAGATAAAAAAAGGGGAGGGATGCACATGAGGAGATGTGCAAAGCCTTGTCAACAAAACAAAAAGACAAAGCCCACTACAATGGCAAAGTATGATCACTATACAAAAAATCCCTTCCCAGCCCAGATTTAGCTGGATTATCAGCCACATGGTTTAATTCTCTAGGAATCCATCTGAAGCTGCATTGTAAGTAAGAGGCCAGCTCCCTGATTTCTAACAGAAAATGAGATAGTCCGTTCTCTATAGTTATCAAATCAACTAGCTTTATTAAATAATTATGTAAATTAATTAGGGGTACAACACTTCATTGATGGAGTATAAGCTGAGCTATGCTAGCAAAGGCACCCCTCGGTTTTCACATTCTAAAAACTACCAGTGAGTGTAGTGTAGTACAAACAACCTGGTTTGCCCTGTCCTTGTCAATGAATCTGTCAACTGATTTGCAGATYCTCCAACCCATTTGAATGAGGTTTTCATCATATGGGCTAGAGATTTTGCTTCCCTAAGTGAATGATGATACAGCCATGGACTTCACCACCATCCTGCATCTATCCAATCACTACCTGTGAGTCACCTGCAACTTCCGCTTTATCATAGCTGAGGGAGAAACAGAACCTGGGTCCCTAAAGAAGCAAGAGTAGCTCTGCTCTAATAGAGTTGAATATCTTCAATTTGACGAGATTAAATTGTGTGGATTGCTTTGATTTCCTTGGAGCTTTCTGAATTCTGATTAGATGCAGTATCATCCTTTATTTTACACTGGAATTATTTATTTTACCTTCCATATTGAAATTGCAGAAATGTCAGTTGAGCATGCATCACTATTGGTAGATATAGTTTTCCAGACATTGTTTATTTATGATGATCGAGTGTCAAGAACAGCCGTAGATGATGTGATTGTAAAAGCCTTGGGTGAGCTTGCTTTTATGAAGGGTTTTGCTGCTGCACTAGTTCAGGCCATAGAAAAGCAGTTAAAGTTCCAGTTGCATAGAGTCTGCTTCAAACTTCTCAAATGGTCTTGCCTTCTCTTAAGTAAGAGCCAGTTTACAACTGTATCAAAGAATGCATTGTGGAAAGTAGCTGCATTGCAGGCATCCTTGCTTCAGATTGCTTTGCAGGGCTCCTTCCACATGCAAAAGGCTTGCAAGAAAATATTTGTTCATCTATTCTCTCAGGTATTTCATGCATGTTTTTTTTTCCTTGTGTTATTGGAGCTATCTTTACTCCCTATTAAAACTCCAATTAACTTATTGTTCCCGATCTTTGTCTTTTCAGTCTTCGAACGTTTTCAAAGTGTATGTAGAGGAGCTAAATGGTTCAAGAATTCCTTTTAAAGATAGTGCCAAATTAATATGGTTATTGCTAGATTTCTCATGTACAGACCCTTCTCTGTTTGAGCAATGCAAGGTAAGAGTATTCTCCATTCTATTATCAATTTAGATTTATATTTACTTGGTGCCTGAAAAACTTGTCAGTCCATGTTCTTCTTTGTATTTATTGAAAAATTTGTCAGTCCATGTCAGGTTCATTCTGAGTATTCTTTAATTATTTTGTACAGGCTGTATTTCTTGAAATGTATGTCAAAGCTGTTCTTAACTCCAAGGAGAAGCCCACAAAGGGTCTCAGTGAAGCATTTCATCCTCTTTTCATGAAAATGTTGCATGAAGACTTTAAAAATATTGTGGTTCCATCATCTGTTAAAATGCTAAAAAGGAACCCAGAAATTGTATTGGAGTCAGTTGGTGTTCTCTTGAAGTCAATCAACCTTGATTTAAGCAAATATTCTGTAGAAATTCTTTCAGTGGTATTGCCACAAGCCCGTCATAGTGATGAAGAGCGAAGGCATGGGGCTCTGTCAATTGTTAAGTGTTTGAGCCAAAAATCTAGTGATCCAGATGTTCTGCTTGCAATGTTTAATGCTGTGAAGGCAGTAATTGGAGGTTTGGGTTTTCTCTCCCATTTCTTGTGAGGTATTTCAAGTATCTTTTAACTTACTCTCCATCATGTAGATGCTTTTGAAAATTTTTTGAATTTAAATAGGTTCAGAAGGGAGACTAGCATTTCCTTACCAGAGGATTGGAATGATCAATGTACTGCAAGAATTGTCAAATGCTCCTGATGGAAAATCACTCAACAGCTTGGCATCTTGCATCTGTACATTTCTTTTGTCCTGTTACAAGGAGGATGGTAAGAATTTTATTTGAATCCTTTCTTCTTTCTCCCAACTTCTGTCTTTACACCTTTAATGATTCCAAGTCTTTCAACAACTTTTATCTGGTTAATAGATTCATGAATTTGTGTTTCAACTTAATTCACAGGAAATGAAGAGGTCAAACTTGCAACCTTATCTGCAATGGCTTCTTGGGCAGTGCGATCTGCTGAAGCAGTTCAACCAGATATTGTTTCTTTTTTTGTTTCTGGCCTCAAGGAGAAAGAAACTCTAAGACGGGGGCATCTTCGTTGCCTCCGAATTATATGCAAGAATCCTGATGTCTTTGTGAGGGTGAGGAAGCCAAATTTTTATTTCTTCCATACTTGTAATTTTTCTGAACTTATACTTTCTTGAAATTGCTTCCCCCTTCTCTAGTAACTAATTAGAGCTTCAATGGTACCCTCTGCAGTTATCATCTTTGTTTGGGCCTCTTGTCCAACTGGTGAAAACCGGTTTTACAAAAGCAGCACAGCGGTTGGATGGAATTTATGCATTTCTTTTGGTTGCCCAAATTGTAGCCGTTGATATTAAAGCAGGTGTCTTGCAGTTTTTATCCTGAATTTGGAGGGCCGACTATTGGCCTCTGATGGGTAATTTGCTTATTTATGCATGCATACAGTTAAGGTTAAAGCATTTCTTTTCTTTTTCAGAGGATATTGTGTCAAAAGAAAAGATCTGGTCGTTGATATCTCAAAATGATTCTTCAGTGGTGTCTATTTCATTTGTAAGTATCAAAATGCCTTGTAAATTACGGTTTTCTCTTGCGATAAAGAATGAACATTTGTAGTTTCAATTTTCCTATAGAAAACATTTGTAGTTTCAATAGTATTATACATTTTTTAGTGTTGGGAGAACCAGATACAAAATGTAGAAGTATATAAACTTGATCTTTATTTCTAACTCTTTACTTTAGTTACCTGTAAAAAAACTATGACAAATTTGAATAGTTGAATGGGACAGTTCTAAATTACTTATTCTCTCTAAATTGCATCTTTAGCAAGGGAAAGGGCTGGAATTTTATTATTATTATTGTTAATTAATAAAATTTTTAATCTCAAGAAATTTATACAAATACAAAATTAATAATAGAATAATTATTTGAGTACTTAAAATTTATAAATTTGCACATGATATGTATCTTAAAAATTTTAGTAATTTATATTTTAATTTGTATTAAATAACAATGTATTTATTATTGTTTACATAATTTTTGAGAATATAATACAAATTGAATCTATCAAATCCACTAATCCTCATTTATTTTAGAAATGGATCTTATATTTTACAAAATTTAAAGAAATAAATATATTAATAATGGACTAATTATTTTAGTAATTAAAAATTATGAATTTACATATGATATGTATCTTCGAAGCTTTAATAGATTTGATATATGTTGTGTTAAGATTATATATTTTTGTAATATATTAATTGATCTTTTAATTTACAACAACATATTTATCGTTTACAAAAATAAAATATTATTTTTTTAAAAATTAAGAATTAAGTTTTTAGTTGACCTTTTTGTTAATGCTTGAAATTAGAAATAGTAAAAGATAAAATAATTGATATTATAATTCAAATACAATAATTGCATATGCTTTTTTGCTTTGGACTTTAATAGAAAATAAAATAATGGTTTTGTGCATGTATTAATTTGTAAAAATCTATATAATGTGTCTTGACTCTTGATTAATGTATTATCAATAAAGTTGCATGATATTTATGCATCCCACTATATTAATTGTAATGCATTTCTTCATATATACTATTAAAATATAAATTTTCTATGTATTTATACATTATTTCTGGTTATTTTGACATTAAATTTACTTTTATTAATATACTTATGGAATCTATGTTCATTTCCCAAGCATATCCAAGCGCTTCCGTATTTTTCGTCTGTATCCATGCGTTTCCAAAGCGTGTCCGTATCCATGTCCGATCTGTCCGACGCAATATGCGATACYGATACTTTGATCATTGCTTCTGTGGTGTGTGTACTCAAAGGGGAGCTCGAGAGTTTGGGAGAATTTACGAAAAAGGATAAGCAAAGGAGGAAGATTGCAAAGTACCAAGGGGAGATGAAAAGCTAAGTGTTATTTCGGGGGAAGATTTTGAAGGTGGCCCATATGTTAAGGTGGTAAAGTGTTGGGGTTATTTTTCTTGGGTGGAGAAGCATTCTCTAGAAGTGCTTTCAAAGAATTTCAGAAAAGGAGTAAGGAGGAGAAGCGCCGAAAGACCTTTTTAAGTGAAGGAGGGGATGCATGGGTTGAGGGAGGTGTGAAGATGATTTCGTTGAGGAGCAGTAATTTTGATGTTTTTTTTTTGATGTTGGGGTTTTCTTTTTCCCTGTTGGGTGAGCTTCACCCTGTAATATCTTTTTTATCAATGAATTTTATTTTATTATAAAAAATATGCTGAAGCAATTGGAAGAATAGAAGGTAAGAAGAGAATGAGTAGAGATGAAGAAGAAGAGGGGAGGAGAAGAGAAAGAATGACCTTATGTGGGCGCCCAAATACAAAAAGATGTAAAATGACAATAATACCCTAAACACAGGCATTCTTAACATAAACAAATGTATGGATGGAATCATGGAACAAATGGTGAATTAATCAGCGGAGACTGAGATTAAACACACCTGGAATGAAGCAGTGTCAAAAGTGAAACCTTTTGGAAAACTTCCCCTGTTAATCTGGGAGCCCTTTGAATAACAGCTTTGAATCTCTAAACCCTGGACTGCCTGAAGGAATCTACTCTCATGTGTTTTCTTCTCGTTAGTTCGGATGAATGTTTAGTTCTATAGAAAGGTTYTTCTTGAGGTGTTTGCTTCTGGAGAGAGGTTGTTTGGCAGTAGAAATGATTCTCAAGAGGTAAATAACTTTTTTCTTTGAGCGTTCTGGTTTCAAGAGGAACATGGAGACATCATAGGAGGGGGAGATGGTCTCCATCAATAGAGCAAAGGAGGAGGTGATTGTTGAAGGATTTGGCAAGACTCATTCTTATTCACAGATGGAGGTGGTGCAGGACTCATGGAATAAATCCTTAATGGGCAAGATAGCCTGTCAAGGGCTTGGGGACGTTGGTGATATTTTCCATCGCTGACTTCACGAAGGACTCATACTTAACCAGGTTTGATGCAGAGAGGCATTGGAGTCAGTGCTCAACAGAGAGGAATAGGCGAAAGCATTGGATGYGGGATAGCACCGCATTTGCAAATTTTTCTAAAGGAGGTATTAACAAATTCACATAAGTAATGTTAAGAAACAGAAAGTGCATTAATAATGAGTTCCAAGTTCAGTCAACTACATGGCTGACATCTAGCTAAGCAAGGGTTATGAGAGAACAAATGTTCTGGACTTTGTTGTAGTACATGAGTCTGTGAGGGTCTGATATTTGTAAGTTAGAGTTTAATGTTTGTGCATACTATTCTCTTTTTAATGAAATCCATGTTATTCATAGCAAAGTGCATTAATTAAAATTTACCTTTTGTTTATTTACATACTGGAAAATGATATTCTTTAGGCAGCAATTTATGTCAATGATATATAAATAACAGATTTCATTTTCAGCTATCAGTTGAAAAACATTAATTGATCCAGTGTAGCTCCATGAACGGCTCCTTATACTAAATAAAAGAAGTCCCTAACCAGGCGATGAAGGATCTCTTTGCAGATTGCTCCTTTTCCCTACATCATTAGGATGAGTATCAACATTTTTTTTCCTTCAAATGGCAYGCATGTTCAATTTGGAACTGAAAAGGCTTTGTTTCCCTGTTTGATAGTCCAAGCCATTGTGGACCCTTATTGCCATTGCTGATCTATCTAATACAATCAGACAATTTTCCTTTGATTATCAGCCTCTCAAATCCGATAAAGGATGATGATCTAAATCCTTGAATGTATGTTTTAGGCTTTTAGCTGAGTTCACTAAGCATTACCATTTTATGTATAAAGTATCTGAAAATCCATGTAGTGATGGCAATGTCGAGAGCCTTTTGTCTCTTTATAAGCCTTCTTTGCAATGGCCGTCTTCCGGATAACAGTGATATTGTGCCATTGCTTTTCTTGCAGGCTTCAAAACTACYGAGTGAGGATTTAATGGCATGCATTGATCTTCTTGAGGTGCTTCTGGTGGAACATCTGCAAAGGTTTTTCCACTTATGTTGCTTTTTATTGCTTCATTGTTCATTGTTTAGAAATTAATTGTTCATTTCTTTAAATTCCTTCCAACTTAAAACTGGAAGTGTGATTTTGTTTAGACTCAATTCTTGGTCCTTTTTACTGCAGAGTGTTGAATACTTTTTCTGTCAGATCACTATTACAGGTAAACCAAGGTGCAATCTACTTTTTTTTTTGGGCTAAGAAACACTACTGACAGATGATTTGTCATGTACAGTTAATAATCTTTCTCATATGCCATCCAAGCTGGGATGTTCGTCGGGTGGCCTATGATGCTACAAAGAAGATCATCACTGCTGCCCCAAAGTTGTCTGAAGATCTTTTGCTTGAGTTTGCAAAACTTCTCTCTGTAGTTGGAGATAAAATGCATTTTCTGAAAACAAGGTATATATAGTTAATAATGGAGCTTTGTAGTCTGGCTTCCTGTTTTTCAATTAGGTTTATTTGTCTGATTATATTATATTTAATGTTTTGAGACCTGATCCAGATGTGTAAGTTGGCAGGGAGCAGGTTGGTTCAATGCTGACATGTTCTAGATGTTACTTCTGTTTAATAAATGCCATGTTGATTAGGAAAAGTTATAATGCAATTTAAGTACTGTATTTTTCTGAGGTTATTATAGTAGGTTCTGATCAAGATTCGAATTATCGATACATGCTGATACAGTGGAAGGGGTGTGTCGTTACTTTGTACCACACTCATTCCAATTTTTTTAGTTTTTTTCTAAAAACAGGGAGGGGTAGGTTTAAACATTGTTTAACTATTAAAACCAGTGCTTCTGGAATTAGCCTTAAAAAAGGTGTATCGACAGTGTGCCGTTTTGAAATAATATGCCTGATACAGAGTGTATTGTGTCGAAATTTTGAACCTTGGTTCTGATTCATGGATAGGATGAAAATAGTAACCCATTCATTACCTTGAAGGGGAGGTCATCTTGAATTTGCTGCATAGACCAATAACTAGAACTGCATTATAGGAAAATGCTACTACTTACTGTGATGTGCAACAGTGCAAGATGCTGCTGCAATCACAAGGGGAGCATGTCTCAACATGGGCTGTGTGTGGATGTTCTGAGATATCAGCCCCTCACACTCACAGGAGGGATGTAGAACATCAGCTTGGGGGCAGTTTAATCCTGATGCAGTAAAGACAGAAAGGGAGGAGAATATAAAGAAAAATGACTGAGAATTTATTGTCACTCACTATTAGTAAAGCAGTTGTCCACACCGACATCAAAAAAAAAAAAAAAAGGAACCCTGATCCTACAACCCTCTCTCATTGCTGACCAACAAGCAAAGCAGAACTCCCTGAAAATTCTTTTTTCCACTCCTAATCACAGTCAATAGTGAACCAAAAACTCTCAATAAACTCATGTATATCAACCTTCACTCAGCTTTTTCCAACTGCATCCCTTCAAATAACTTTTCTATCTCCCCAAATTCTCTCGAACCTTGCCCACCATATTTCTTTCCTCATCTCTTTGAAAGTTTTCCTTGCAAATTCCTCCCCACCCAAAAACAAAAAAAAACAATTGTCTTGCTAACTTGCAAGGGTGTGGGTCCCATGTGGGCCCTATGTGTACAGAACGCTGGCGTGTTCACTCTTGATAGGTTTCCTAGCCCTGTGTGAATAATTTTGTCTGTAGCCCATCCAGACTCCTATCTTGCACTTCACGTTCAACTATATTTTTCCAGCTCAGAACTCTTCTCCACTGGTCTAGCTTGATCCAGAATGACATCACCCTCTTCTTCCTTTTCCTCCGATCTTTCAGAATTGGTATTCTCAACCTATCCTTGTCGACCAATGTTTTGCAGCAAAATGTCCTTCCCCACTAACAAGTCCTGATCTGGACGCTCTTGATTCCCAGGATTCTTTTGTTTTCTTACTTTGACTCTATTTCCCTTCTGAAAATTCTCTTGCATTTGCAGGTAGGTCCTGGCCCAACAATTCTATCCTTTTGTCATGAGAAAACTTTGGTCATGTGCACTAAATGAACGTTATTTGCTTCTTGTGGTTTCTTTGTAATCACCTTTGCTCCATTTCCAATCTCTTTATGTCTCTCATATCCTTCTCTAAAGTTCCCACAAACATTTTAAAAGGACCTATCATTTTCTCTTTATTTTTTGATCAGCAGAAAAAAGATTTTTTTAAAATTTTGAAAGAAGAAAAGATAAGTACAGCTTTTTAGCCCACTTTGCTATTCCAAATTACAAGGATGCCCAAAACAGTCCTTGCCTCGTAGCCCCTTGCTTAGCTAAGGTGTCAGCTAAACCATTTGCACTCCTAACCCATTTATTTAAATTCAGCCACTATTTCTTCTGTAATTGTTTCCACATTCCTTAGAATATACTTTAGGGACCAAGGAATATTCCTTTTGGATTTGGCCTAGGAGATGACTACTTGTGAAATCATTCTAAATCCCAACTGCTTAGCTAATCTGAGGCGTTGTAATAAACCCAACAACTCACCTTGAAAAAATTTCCGAAGCCAATTGGTCTTGAGAAAATAGCCAATATCCTCCTCTCTGAATTTCTGACAACCCCCCTATTTCAGCCACACCTGGGTTTCCAAGAGAGCTTCCATCAAAATTTAATTTTACTTTGTTGTCTTCCAGGGGTTTTCAATCCATCCTTTTTCTGTCTTTTGTTCTTGATGACTGTGCTATTTCGGTCCAGGCTCGGAAGAAATCATTTACTTAGAAGGTTTTGAAAATATCCAAAGTCTTCACCCAGGACACTACCTTATTTTTATACTGTCTATCACCTCACCTCTGCCAAACTTGGCTCTTTTCCAAGAAGATTCTGCTATTTCTCTCTTCCCATTCCACCCAGCAGATTGCTGCCTTAGTTGCTTTCCAAAGAATTTTCCCCCTTTTCTTTGGTTGCGTCAAGAAGTTTGGGTTGAAGAGACCTTCCACATCTTGAGGTGGGACCCACCTGCAGCCAGAAAGAGAACAAAAAAACTCCCAAATTCTCAGAACAAAGGACAGGAGAGAAGTAAATGAGATAGTCTCCCCGTTACCCTTACAAAGGAAGCACATAGGAGAGAAACAAAAGGCCTTATTTTGTGCAGCAAGTCATAAGCATTTACCATACCAAGAAAAATTTCCCAGTAGAAAGTTTGAATTTTGAGTGGGATAGGCTTACTCCAAATTTCTTTTACTGGGAAGTCCACCCCTCTAAATTTCTTTCGACTCTTTCCTTGAGGATTCTAGAATTTGGTTGACCTATCATTTTCTCTTACCATGTCATGGTCATCCCCATCCAAATAAGATATATCTTTCTCCACAACCAAATCATTCAACTTGCTGTGACCAAACAAGCCCTCTTCTGAAACTGCACCATCCACCTTTTGACTCTCATTAACCACTAAATCCCCATCTGACAAGATAAGGTCTGTTTTTTCTAGGATTCACTTCTGCCCTACCAAGAGTCTCCTGCCTTTGGTTGTCCATCTAAGGCATCCTCTGCAAATAATCTTCTCTTGAAATCTCCATTCCTTTATCTTCAGCCTTTGAAAATGAAGAAAAATCCAAATCCACTGGCTTCTTGCCTTCAATCTTTTGAAGATCTTGAACTGATGGATAGAAACTCTCAGCATCTTCAACCAGAATCAACCCTCCGTCCTCAATGATGCCTACCTTTTACTTTCTTCCTTCGCTTCCATCTTCCTTTGGCTGCTGCCCAGGCACAATCGAGTTTGAAATTGGGGGCAGCAATTTATCACAAGAAAGTTCAGTCACGAGCTGAAAATCTGAGGTGGGCTTGAGATCACCAGCACCATTTTTCTTACCCTCCACCCTGCTCTCTTTTCCTGGAATGAATCTTGTAACCACCCACTCCCATCTTTCTTGCCCCTCGTCGCCTTGACCTTAAAACCCTGCTTCAATCAGTCCATTTTGAGAAGTCTTCTCTCAAAGTGGCATCTTTCTGACATGGGAGTTGATACATGTGGACGTTTCTTTTCTTTCCTGTGTTCTTTCCCTCATCCCTGGTTGGAAAACACCTCAAGAAAACAAAGGAGTGTATTTCGTTTTGCAGTTTTGGGAGGAAGTTAGTTCCTTTTGCAGTTAAATGATTCTTATGAATAAAGTAAATAGAGAAAGAAAGTTTAAACAAAAGAAGGTAAGAAATCAGGAGTATACTGATTCTTAGAGTAGAGTAGTAATTGGATTGGAGGCTTTGGTGACTGTCTCCTTATGCATGCACAAGAAGATGGCAGAAGCCCAAAAGATTTTTGCTGCCTATGTCAATATTTCTTGATGGGAGGGGAATACAAGACTGGAAGGAGCCCTGTTGCAAAGAAGCTTTTCGTTCTATTGAATCAGGTGAGAAGTCAAAGAGATAAGGAAAGACAGAGGTAGATGTCGAGGGGCTTTAATGATGGAGGTTGCTGGCAGAACTTGAGAAATGGAAAAGTGGGTGGGGCCCAGGTAAAGTCGGTTGAAAGGGATAGAAGGATTTGGTTATTGCAGAAGACAGTGGAGTTGGTGAGAAGATTGGGGAGGTGGGACACGTGGACAACTTTAAGAACGAAGCAACAATGGTGGAAACTGAAAACCCGAATGAGTAGAATAGACCCTTTGAAGAAACAGGTGGGGCCCAAACCTTGAATTTCAATTGCGTTATTAGGGGTAAGGCTAACCAAATTTGACAAAAATGGAATTAAGAAGCCAGATGGACGAACAAAGGAGGATCACGTTGGAAATCAGGCCTCTTCTGTGGTTGGAGGAGAGGGCCTATGCGCTCAGGTTGGAAGAAATACTGTGGTGGCCTGGATCACATTGGAAATTGAGGTTGATGAGTTGACTCTCCAAGAAACAAGGAACGATTTGGTTTCAGCCAACTGACATCTGAGAAGATTATCCCTGACAAGAGTTGGGGGTTGGAAGAGGGGACCGAGGAAGTTGGGGAAATCTATGCGGGTTCTGAGATCGGGGAAGCGGCAGGAGGAAGAGGGCCGAGCGAAGATGGAGACAACATTGGTGTTCAGGATGAGAATCACGTTGGAGATGCCATTTGTTTTAAGGAGGTGAAGGTTGGAAGGTTGGGTGTTGACTTGGGTCGAAGAAGCAAGAGTGAAGAGAAAAATGAGAGGTTCAACGAAGTGAATGATAAGAAACCGCACAGCCTAAAAAACTCTAATGTAGTGTGTGTGACAAAAATCTTCTCTAGGTTGAAGCTTGGTCTGGCAGGGGCAGGACCCACAAAAAACTACAAATGGGTATACAAAAGAAGGAAGAGAGGCAATTTGTCTCTTGGAGCTGAGTCTAAAGGAACAACGATGGAGGAGCAGCCACTGGATTCTCTTTTGGGGAAGGATGTTCATGCTATCAAGGACGGCAGTGAGGGTTCTGTTTTAGGTACAAGTATGGAGGTGCAAAGTGATGAGTTTAAGGGTAATGCTTCGGGCGGTGTGACTCTTCAAAAGTTGGTAGATAGAGAGGTGACGATCGGAAAAAGTTTGGGTCTCTTTTTTTGGGGTGGTGAAGAGTTCGCTAGGAGGGCCTTTGAGGAATTTGAAAGGACAAAAAGGAAGGAGAAGTTAAAGAAGAAAGCTCTGTTGAAAGGAGACGAAGCTTGGGACGAGGAAGTTTCAGATCAGAAGGATGAGATTGTGGATGAAGATTGAGCATCTCTACCAGGTTTTAAAAGTTTTATTAGCTTCAGTCCAGTTTAGTACGAGTCTTTGGTATGTAAGTGGTGTGTTTGTTCTTTAGGTGTTGTTTAAGGGGTCTTGTTGTTTTGTTTGTTTGGTCATTTAGTTCTTTTTTTTTCCGGATGATGTCTTATCATCTTCCTGCTGTAACTCTTTTTCCTTTTAATAAAAATTTCCTTTTATTCTTAAAAAAAGCTTTTTTGATGTTCAATATCTCTGACGATATATCATAGGCCTATGAATTTTCATCAAACCTTCAATCCTGTGGTACTGATGTGTATCATGTCTTCTAATTCGAAAAGAAAATGTTGAATCCAAATCCTTTTGAGATTTCAGTGAGTACCTAAAAGAATATAGATGCTTAATTGCTGGATCAGAAACGAGTTGTTTGATGATTGCCATTGGTTTTCTCATGCATTTTTTTTTTGTTAATTGCTATGACTGCTGGAATTTCTCTTTCCCCCTTTTTTCTGATCTCTAACAAGCTCCATGCCTTTCTATTTCTGAAGAATTATTTTTTTTTTCTGACATGCTAAGGCAAGCTATTTTAAGTATGTTATTTTTCTGTAGTGACACAGAAAGTGCGGTTGATGCTCAAGTGCCCTTCCTTCCAACTATTGAGATTTTAGTGAAGGCTTTGCTTGTGATTTCATCACCTGCTCTAGCTGCTGCATCAAGTGCAAGTTCAAGGCTTATATTCTGCTCACATCATCCATGCATTGTTAGCAGTGCAAACAAAGATTCTGTATGGAGGGTAATGTTTTATATCTTCCTATAAGATATTCTTTATTTGGTTAATGCCCAACTTTTTACTGGACTTCTCTGGCTCTACTCTTTGCGATGTCTGGAAAGGAATGAGTGCAGACAAGATATGATTGCATACTTTATTGGAAATATTAAAACCTCCTCCCCAGGCATTGCATTCTGAAAATTTTCATGCAGAGGGCGAAACAAATTTTTCATGAACAGGATAATATGTTATGGGATTTGTGATGATGTTTTGGTAGTCAACACTACAGCGTCATTGCTGTGAAGGAGAAAATCTGAAAAATGTATCAATTCCTTCTAGGTGAATGAATTTATTTTGTTCAATAACATTTTCACCTGAAAAAAAATACTCATTCTATAAAGTTAGGCAAAATCCAGTTTAAGGCAATAAGGTGTAAGGTTCTTTCTAATTTGGTTTGCATTTCATGTTTGAACTATGATTTTCGTGCCCCTTGTTATTGAGTATAGCTTGAATTTTGTGAACCTCTTTCTGACTTTTTTAATTGGTAACAACAAATTTATTTATTGAAGAATGTATTTGGAATTTGTAGAACTAAACACCAAGCACCTAACAAAGGTAGCTAGATTTGGCTTGCTGCCTTAAGCATAATTTTTATAAGGTCAACGGTTTCCTCCCTACTGGAATTAGACTGCCCTGATACAACAATGCATTTGGCTTTTGTTTGTCTCTTGTTTTGCTAACCCATTATGCTTGTGTTGCCTTTTAATTTCTTTTTTTTTGTGGTTTTAGAGTTGTGTTTGAGGTAGTGGGCTCGGAATTATTATTTTGGGAATTATATTCCATTGAATTGGGTTCAATTGATTTGAAAGTAAATTTGTTTGGATGTTGGTGTTGAATTTTATGGTAGACTGTTAAGATAGGGTATGAACGGGCTGGATATGGAGGGACCCATTGGATTTGGTTCTCGATCTGAATAAGTATAACTGTTGAATCTAGAGAAGGGAATGTGGGACAGTCGTAACATTGAGTGTCTTATCACCCTGATTCGTTCTTTTTTAGTGCATTTCGTTGTGAGAGCAGGTAGAGTATAGTGTCATTAACATTAGCCAAAAAGCATGTAAACAATTTCCTGTACAAAGGGTTTTTATTATCACTTCCCATGCAACCCTATATGCGCAAACCCTCTGTTTTACAAAAAGGTTATCATATACAAAATAATGCTGCAATTTCTATCTTTAAACAATTTGGTTACAGCAAGCTAAGGAAACATTTTTCCTAAGATTTACTGCTACATTGTGTCTGTAGAACTACTTTTGTTCTTCAATATCCTTGCATTTCTCTCTTGCCATATGCACCAAAAAACCATGCTCCATGCCAATTTCCCCCTCTTATTTAGACCTCCAACTCTCAAACCCTTTACAAAATCCACTACCAATTTTGGGCAACAGCTTTTTACCTCAAGAGTGTTCCAAAATTTTGTCCAAACCTCAAGAGAAAATCTGAAATCTAGCAGCAAATGATTATCTGATTCTGTTTTCTGTTTTCTCCTCGCAGGGAACACAGTTGGTGGAATCTAGCAACATGCCCTTAGCAAATTATCCCTGCTATCCAGAGGAGAAGGAAGAGAGAGAGAGAGAGAGAGAGAGAGAAGAGGGACAAAAGTTTGGAGTCTTAGATAGCTGCTGGCTGCACCAACTTTTTGTTATTTATACTAGGGCGACACAACTTAAAATAAAACAGGCTGAAAGTACTAAAGTACCCTTGCAGTACTAAAATCATGCCCACATTCTGCCTTTTGTTATCTCAACACTCCCCCTCAAGTTGGGACATAGATATTAATCATGCCCAACTTATCACATAAATCATAATGTCACAAGTGATGTAACCCCTTTGTGAATATGTCTACAAGTTGGTCTTCATAACTGACATAGGGAGTACACACTTCCCCTGTGACAACCTTTTCTCTGATGAAATGTTTGTCAACTTCGATATGCTTAGTTCTATCATGTAGCACAGGATTAGCAACGATGTTTATGGCTGCTTTGTTATCACAGTAAAGAGTCATAGGTCCAACTAGAAAGCTGAACTCACTTAACAAATTCTTTAATCACATAATTTCTGCCACTCCATGAGACATTGCCGGATATTCAGCTTCAACACTAGACCTAGCTACCACATTCTGCTTTTTGCTTCTCCAGGTAACTAGGTTCCCTCCTATAAAGGTACAATAGCCATTTGTTGACTTCCGATCATTCAAGGATCCTGCCCAATCAGCATCGGTATACACTTCAACTTTCAAATGCCCGTGCTTTTGAAACAACAAGTCTGCACCTGGGAACTTCTTAAGATATCTGAGAACTCTTTTTGCTGCTTCCAGGTGGGTAGTCTTAGGGGCATGCATGAACTGGCTAAGAACTCCCACTGCATAAGCAATGTCTGGTCAAGTCATAGAAAGATATAGCAGTCTTCCTACAAGTCTTTGAAACTGTTTCACATCCTCGACGAGTTCACCTTGATAGTCTCCTAACTTGTGGTTAGGATCAATAGGGGAATCAACATGCTTCACTCCCAATTTTCCTGTATCCTGGAGTAGATCTAGGACATACTTTCTTTGGGAAATGAAGATACCCTTTTTTGAGTGGGCCACTTCAATTCCAAGGAATTACCTTAGAGGATCTAGATYCTTCACTTCAAACTGGGTAGCAAGGAAACTCTTCAACTTTTGAATTTCATCATTCCAATCACCAGTGATAACTATACCATCAACACATACCATCAGTGCTGCAATCCTTCCTTCCCCTCTTTTCACAAACAATGTGTGGTCAGATTGACACTGCTTGTATCCTCTTTGCTGAACTGCTACATGGAATCTATTAAACCAGGCTCTCGGTGATTGTTTCAGGCCATATAATGATTTTTTTAACCTGCACACTTTCTGTTCCTTACCTTGAGCTCAGAAACCAGGGGGTTGCATCATGTATACTTCATCTTCAAGGTCACCATTTAAGAATGCATTCTTGATATCAAGTTGATGAGGTTCCCAGTCAAGATTAGTAGCTAAGGAGAAAAAAACTCTAATGGAGTTCATCTTAGCAACGGGTGCAAAAGTTGTTGCATAATCCACTTCATACACTTGTGTAAACCCCTTTGCTACTAGACGAGCTTTATACCGCTCCACTATGCCATCGACCCTATGTTTTACTGTGAAAACCCATTTACACCCAATTGGTTCCTTCCCCTCAGGAAGATCTACAAGTTCCCATGTACCATTCTTATGTAAAGCATTAATCTCTTCCTTCATAGCATCTGTCCATTCAGGTATCAAAAGAGCTTCAGCTACATTCTTAGGAATAGAAACACTGTCAATGGAAGAGAGAAAGGCCCGAAAGTAAGGTGAAATGTTCTCATAGGAAACAAAGTGGGACATGGGGTATTTAGTGGTGCAAGACCTAACACCTTTCCGATGAGCAATAGGAAGGTTAAGGTCATCAGCAATAGAGGTATCAATGGTAGTAGGGTCAGGAACATCAATGGGAACCAAGGTAGGGAAGGATCCATCCTCAGAGAGTTTGATGGTATTGGTGGTACAACTTCTAGATGCTCCACAACTCTTGAACTTGGCTGGCCTTTGTGACATCGAAAGAAAACACGAAAGTGAGGAGGATCAGGAATAGGGCGCAGTTGAACTAGTTTCTCCTCATTTCTACACTCCCCTGAGGAGAAACAGGGAAGGAAGGCTCACTCTCAAAGAAAGAGACATCCATAGAAACATAATATCTTCGGGAGACGGGATCAAATCATCGATACCCCTTTTGAGTGAGGGAGTACCCCAAGAAGATGCAAGGAATAGCACAGGGATCCAATTTTCCACGGGTGGGAGCCAGATTTTGAACAAAGCAACGACAACCAAACACACAAGGAGGAATAGAAAGAAGAGGAGCCTTTGGAAAAAGAAGCTGATGTGGGGCTTTGCACTCTAACCAGTGGGAGGGCATGTGGTTAATGAGATTGGTAGCACAAAGGACTGCCTCAAGCCAAAAACGTTTTGGGACATTCATATGGATGAGTAAACCCCTAGCCACTTCAAGAAGGTGTCAGGTCTTTCTTTCAGCAACACTATTTTGTTGTGGTGTTCGGGCACAAGAGCTACGGTGAAGTGATCCATGCGAAGCAAAGAATTCCGTGAGGTCATTATGAAAATATTATTTTGCGTTATCGGATTGGAAAATTTGGATCTCAGTTTGAAATTGGGTGAAGATCATTCGGTGGAAATCTTGGATAATTTTGGGTACTTCATCCTTGGTTCGCATAGGATATATCCATGTGTATCTGGAGTAATCATCAATAAAGGTAATAAAATATTTGTAGCCACTCTCGGACGGTAAAGTAACAGGGCCTTAAAYATCAGAATGAATAATATGGAAAGGAAATTCAGATTTATTATTCTTTGAAGAAAAATGAGTTCTACAATGCTTACTCAATTGACAAGTAACTGTGACACTGACACCGACTTAAACAACTCTGGAAACACTAATTTTAAAGACTGAAAGGACAAATGACCGAGGCGGCTATGCCATAAATAGACCTGACTTGTACTAGACTGACTCTTAGACTGTGATTGTAAGACCAGCCTTATTCTCCAGCATGTAGAGTCTATCCACCATAAGTCCTCTACCAATCGTCTTCCTCGAGGCCAAATCCTGGAGTGCACAATAAGGGAAAAGGTTACTGAGCAGTTTAAAGAATGAGTGATACTACTAACAGAGAACAAATTAATGGGGAATTTTGGAACATGTAAGACATTAGTCAGGAGGCCAAAGGGAAGAGAGATGGTTCCTTGACCAGCTATGGTAGAATATGAACCATCAGCTAGTTTCACCTTGTCTCTTTCAGAGAGGAGGTGGTAGGTATGAAAATAAGTCGACTTACCAGCCATATGTTTTGATGCTCCTGAATCAATTATCCAAGGAGAGTTAGGGGGATGAGACGATACATGGAAAGCTGTGGCAGGGTTACCTGATGTAGACGCAAATGAAGTTGAAGGAGGAGAAGAATCCATCTAACGAATTGCTCTACCATAGAGTTCCAAATGGTCACGAAAGGAATTGATAATATCCTCCCTCGGGTTAGAACCAGAAGTGTATGTCTGAGTCATAGCAGTAATAGGGGGCCGATTCTCCTAAGAAGCCACATTTGCTGTGGTGAACTTTCTTAGACCTTGCTGTCCTGACTTCTTATTCAGGTTTGAACCTTGTTTCTTGCTTAAATCCTAGGCCCATTTGGGCTTCCCATGAAGATCCCAACATGTTTCCTGGGTATGTCGGGGTTTTTGGCAGTGGGTGCACCATAGTTTGTCTTTGGCTTCCACCCTTTTTTGAGGGTCCCCCTTCTTAAAAAAWYTTCCCCCACCTGTAGTAACATTCCCCTTTGCTGCCAACACAACTGCATCCCCTCCGGAGCTGTTCATTAAATTTCTTCTACTCTCTTCCGACTATACTAATGCATAAACCTCCTGGACAAAAGGAAGATCCTTGCTGCCTAGGATCTGGACTCTGATGGATTCATATACTAGATTCAAACCATGGAGGAATGCAAACACTCTCTGTTGGGAAACAAGCTTATTGTATGCTTTTGCATATTCATCACACTTCCAATCTACACTCTGATAGTGATCTAACTCCTTCCARACGGAGGTCAAATCTGAATAGTACACAGAAAGTTTCCTCTCCCCTTGTTTACAAGTGGATGATTCTGCCTGTAACTGATAGATTTTTGCATAGTGACGCAGTTTAGAATATGTCGATTTTGCTTGCTCCCAAATCTCATAAGCCGTTTCAGCTCACATAAAGTTCCTTCTCACTTGAGGTTGCATAGACACCAAAAGCCAGGGCATAACCATGCTGTTTTCCTAGTTCCATCTGTCATAGTCACCACTCTCGGAATTCGGTTCTTTAATTCTCCCATTTATATACCTTTTTTTCCCCCTTGCAGTAATGTATAACTTGATCCCCCTCGACCATTCTAAGTTATTCAGACCATCCAGGGGTATAGCAGCCATAGGGAAGGAAAAATCTATTCCCCCACTTGTTCCGTTCTGCATTAAGGAGACTCCAGATGTGGCAAAGTCTTAACCTCTCATAATCACAACTTCAGGTTACACTCCAACTGAACACAAGGAAGGCCAAAAAGAAGCAGCCGAACACCCCAAAAAAAATTTTGCACTAGGGAATTAGAGACAACCACTCCCCTCCTTTCCCTTCTTTTAAATCTCAGTTCTTCAACTAGAAATAGCTGCTGTTACCGAAGTTCTTCAACTAAAAATAGCTGCTGTTACCGAACTCACAAGTCATCACTGGCCTACCATAAATCAGGTATGGCTGCTGTAGCAGCATATACAGGTCCTCTCTTGACCTACAAATCAATTGTGGCTGTTGTTGCAGCATATACAGGTCATCCCTTGACCTACAAGTTCACCAGAAGGCTGCTGTCTCAGCATGTAAAGGTCATTACTGACCTACAGTCTGTTACAGGGATCAGCCGATACCACAAAAAAGGAAGGAAGAGGAACTGCTCGCTTCACATTAACAGTCTGAACCTATTACAAGTTCTGTTCTGGCACACAACCAGAAAAAAATAAAAAAAGAAGGGAGAGAGATTACTTCAGTCCGATCTGAATCTGGATCTGGATCTTCAATGAATCTGGATCTGGATCTTCAATGAATCTGGATCTGGATCTGGCGAATGGAGAAGACAGGGAAGGTGTGCTCGATCTCTTCTTTTGGATCCAACAGTCCCGCTCTGATACCATGTTATCCAGAGGAGAAGGAAGAGAGAGAGAAGAGAGAAGAGAGTCAAAAGTTTGGAGTCTCAGAAAGCTGCTGGCGGCGCCAGGTTTTTGTTATTTATACTAGGGTTACACAATTTAAAATAAAACAGGCTGAAAGTACTAAAGTACCCCTGCAGTACTAAACATACAAAATAACAGCATTTCAACAATCCCTTGTTAACATTCTGTTCAAATAGGAAGTCCAACAAAAAAAAGTCTACTTTTGTGGGAATATTCTCGCACCAAACAATTTTAGCTGGGGTTATATGTTTCTCCGATCTGGAAGTAAAGATGTGAAAGGACTTGACTGAGAAATTTCCAGATTTTTCCTATTCTGAAGTTCTCTCATCTTTTCTTCTTATGTCAACTCCAGTGCTATACAGTTTGTGCAGCAATTTCACCATTGAATTTAGTTCCTATCATTTAGATTTCTTCTAAATTGAGTAATCCATACCACTTCCGTTCTGCATCTGCATACAATCTGGCACACAGGCTTCTTTTTCTGCAGCCAGCTCAAAGTGATCAGGATAAACTTCAATGAATGGCCTGTTTTTAACCATGCATCCTTCTAGAATTGTACCCGAAATTTATCTCCAACTGTGAACTACTCTCTTTGAGGTAAGATCATAGGGTTTTCCAATACCTGTCCAAACAGAGCTCCCATAGGATTGGTTTGGCACCCCCAGGTCCTATCCCATGTTTCTATATCCATATTTAGCTGTCATCACCCACCCTTCTCCGCAACCTTCCTTGGTTCTCTCCAAATCTCTGAACCCTTTTCCCAAAGAGTAATATTGACATTCATGACCTTTCCTTTTGTCTTCCCCCCACACTCTCTTAGGAAGCCTCTCTTATTCTTTTCTATAATATTTGCCATTTCAGCTGGGATTGGATACAAGGTGAGCAAATACATAGGGAGAGAAGACAACCTTCAACAAAGTAATCTTGTCTCTGTAGGAGAAATACATGGTTTTCCAATAGGCCAATCTGTTCTCAATTCATTCAACAATAGGCTCCCTTATTGATTTAGAATTACATCTAGCACCCAGTGGCTATCCCAGATATTTTAGTGGCTGTTTTCCCATTCTACACCCCCACTCTGGCCAACTTTCTTGCTCCTGAACTTCCCCCACAACAACCAGCTCACTTATGCATGCTTACATTCATTATGGATGCAACTTCAGAGCACCTAAGGATTTCCATAACAGAACAGTGTTGTTCATGGGATGCCTCACAGAATACAAGTGTGCCATCTACAAATGTCAACTATATTATTTCCCATGGGCCTGTTTGGTTCCTGAGAAAATGGTTTGTGGAAAGAAGATACTCTTGAGAATTGGTTTTTATTTTTTTGATAAACAGTTTTATGATTCTAAAGAAGTATTGAAATGCGGTTTCTTAATTTTCTGGATGGGTATTGCATCAAAACAACCTAATCCCAATGAGGAAAATTGGTGTTAGGAACAAATTATAGGGTTTTTACTTGTTTGCATGATCTTCTGTTTGGTAATAGAATTATGAAGAAACCCAAAGATGATTGCGTAGAAAGACCGAAATGGCTGAAAACTGGGAAGTTTCAAAGAAGCACGGTCTTCCAGTCTTTTGATAAACTAAAAGTTTAAATTTGGTCTGTATCTTTTTGGTAATAGAATGATGAAAAGACCCGAAGATGAGTGCCCAGAAGACTGAAATGGCCAAAAATCAGGAAGATTCAAATGGAGCTTATATTTTGTTTCCCATGCTTCAAATAGCATTCTAATATGTTTTAACAACCAGGTAGACCAAAATACGTACCAAAGGCCTTTTTTCTTTAAAGGCATGAGCTGAAAAGTTCTGTGCGTCTCATGATCTGCTGGACTGTTGAAAGATCCACCAGAAAGACTTGCCAAACAGCCACTTGATCTCAAAAGCCACCTCTACCAGAAACCTCCTGCTGACCAGAAGAAAATGAATTCATATCCTTCAGAGAGTCTTTTACATATATTTTTTCTTCTTTTTTCTGCACAGATCATATTGTGTTCCAAGTGGAATTGGTGGTTTCGTATGGTCTTTTCTTGTTGATTTAGTTGGAATCTGAATTTATCTTTTTTTTTTGATAATTGAAAATGATTTCATTAATCAAGAGAAATATGATTTTACAAGAATCCCTTGGAGAGGCATGAGATGCAGCCTCCGTTAGACATTACAAGAGCAATCTGAATTCGTCTTATTCTTTGCTATCTCAATGCAGATTCATTCAACTTATTGTTAGAGGTACACAAATCTGAGTTGATATCTGCTGAATTTAAATTACTATTTCAGAGCAAATCAGTTGGAGATTTCTGCATATTGGGAAGGAAATCTGCAGAAACTTTGTATTCAATGTTTTACTTGGGATTCTAGTGGAGTCTACCATTTCAATTTATTCAATTTTATGAAACAAATGTGGCTGGAACATTTGAGGGTTTTATTCTGTTATTCTTTAACCGGTTTATGGTTAATATGGCAGGATTCCTAAGCAATTTTCTTAAGAACCTCTTAAGTAATGGGCTTTTCCTGATTCCCAATTGCAACTAAACCATGAAAAAGAAGTTGAAAACTGTTTTTTCCTTTTCCCTTCTCAGAATGGTTTTTTAATGACCCAATTGAGTTGTAAAAGAATTATGGAAATTTTTGTTGAAATGTTTTTATTTCTGAAACAAAACGATTGCTATTTACAGAATTATTTCTGTAAATGATACCATGTTGCTTCGTGTGTTCTAGGTTTCACGTGCACACTTTTCTGTTTTCCATGAAATTCGATTATGTAGCTTTATGGAGGAATGTTCATTTGGGGCTATTTGCTTTTGTTTCATTTGCAGAGGCTCCGAAGGAGTCTAAAAAGGGATGGACTTGACATTGTTTACATTATCAGTGAAGATGTTGCAAATGTGTGCAAGGTAAATATAACTCTCAATCTCTCTCTTTTTTCTCACTAATGTGCACAACATGGTTAGCTGATCTTCTGGGGTGGTAGTTATTTATGTGTCTATTCCACTGTCACTTCAAATACTTGTAAAGTTTATGCTTTTCATTTTTTAGTTATGTTTTTTTTTTTTTTTTTGATCAGTATACTTTGATTATGGAAATGAAAAGAAGAGTTGGTTTTCCATTATCTGGAGGAAGTGGATGAAGGGTTGTTTAAGGTCTGTACAGTATTTGATTCTGATTAATGGTGTGGCAAGAGACCATTTTTCAGCAAAAAGGGGATTGAGGCAAGGGGATCCCTTTTCTCCTTTCCTTTTCACATTAATTGCAGATATCCATAGTAGGATGATTTTGAATGCAGATCAGAATAATCTGTTTAAAGGCTGGAGGGTAGGAAGTTATGGTCCCCTCCTCCCTCTGGATGTATAAAACTGAATTTTGATGGCAGTAGTTTGGGGAATCCAGGACCTTCTGGGATTTGGGGAGTGTTCAGGAATGAGGAGGGGGTTATTATTTGCTTTGTTCTCAGGCCTTATTGGAGAAGGAAGCTCTCTCAGGGCTGAGATCCTTGCAGCTCTGGAAGGAATTCAAAGAGCAAGGGAACTAAATATCAGATGCTTGGTCTTGGAAGGTGACTCGAAGGCGGTGATTAGCTGTCTAAAGGAAGAGGACAGTGGCTTGTGGAGATATAACAATGAAAAGAAAAATTTCTGTTGGGTGGGCAGAGACATTGAGATACACTATAGCTGGGTGAAGAGGTCTGCTAACTCACTTGAAGATGGGCTGGCCAAGCAGGGGGTGAATAGGGAGGCTATTTTCTGGGCTAATTTGTGAACTTCTGTCTTTGTATTCTGTTGTAGGGGAGTTAAGTCTTTTTACCTCCCCTGTTGTATCTAAATATTCTTAAATTTTCACATCATTAATAAAGTTTTACTGTTATTGATAAAAAAAAAAAGCTTCTCTGTTGCTGATATCTTGCGGGCTTGGAAAGAAGTGGCATGTTCAACTAAGAAGAAAGAAAAGATGGTGATGGAATGGAAACCCCGAGCTACAAATAAGTTAAAGTTGAACTTTGATGGCAGTTCCATAGGGAATCTGGGATTGGCAGGTATAGGGGGTGTGTTCAGAGATTCAGAAAACAAAGTTCTGGCTATGTATTCATGGCCTATAGGGGTAGGAGACTCCATAAAGGCTGAGCTTCATGCTCTTTTGCAGGGGCTAAAACTATTCAAACAAGCAGATCAGATTTTAAAAATTTGGAGGTTGAAGGAGATTCAAACTGGTGATTTCTTGGTCTAATTTCAGAGGAACACTCCCTGGATTTATAGACATTCCTTGCGAGAGATTGAAAGTTTAGCAAGGGAGCTCAATGCCACTTTCACTTGGATCAAAAGGACTGCAAATGGGATTGCTGACTCGCTAGCAAAACAAGGGGTGTACAGACAAAATCTATTCTGGGCAGTTTTGTAATTCTTTTGATTGTCGTGTCTGTGTTCTCCTGCTGACTGTAATCTATTTTTCAATTTAATAAAATTTATCCTCCTTTACTGATAAAAAAACAATAAAAAAAATCTGGAGGAACATTTTGGTTGTTAATACCTGTAAAAATTGTTGGTTGTTCTTATCTGGAGGAACATATTGTGTTCTAAAAAAATTGTAGGCTGATATTATATGATATGTTAAATTAAAAGGGATCTACATGAAAGGATGTTGAAACAACATAATGACTAACTGAACAGCTGACAAGTCCCTCCAAACCTCTGATTTAGGTAGCGCATCCGCTATGGATTTTGATTTCCTAGGATTTCGGTATGGTAAGGCCAGAAGTAAAGGAGTAAAGAAGGAAGTGAAGGCTCTGAAGTGGAAGTTGTTCCATTTGTGGATCAGAAGATGTTCCATGGGTAAGAATTTGATGGATGGTGTTTGTTTCTCTTGGTGTTTTTTGGGTCTGGTTTTGTACAGGTCCTTTCATATAGGTTGGTGGTGATATGTGGCTAACTTCAGCTGCCACTTATTGTCACTGTGGGTCTGTTTCTTTGGCTCGGCCACATGGCAGCATAAATTACTACTTATATATTCATTGTTTTCCTTTTAATTTACTACTAAATTAGATTTGAAGATTGCAGTGCATTTTGAATGTGCTATATGTAAGGTGTTTGTGTTTTGATTTTTGTCTTCAATTTTTCATGGACTATGGTTGAAATGGCTAGTGATAGGATGAATTATTCATATTTTATATACTACTTTTGATAATTTTTTTATAATAAATTAACAATAATTAATTTCAGTTAGGTTTATTCATCAAACTGATGAAACCAACCAACCCGACCAACTTGACATGAGTTGATATGGAAAAGTGGGAAATTTCCCATATTTCTTAGTCTAAAATGTTTTATATCATAAATCTAAATTTTAAATTGATTTTTTAATAATTGGGTTGTATTTTTTAAAATTAAATTTAATTTTAAGTTTAAATCTTTTGAACCGACTGACCAGACCAAAAAGGCGACCCAAACCGGTACAACTTGAGTGGGTTGTATTTCACGAAAGGTAAATCGGTTTCAGTTGTCCAACTCCCCCAACCTGACCAAGTCAATTTGGTTGGCCAAATAGCCTACGACCGAACCGAACCAACTCACGAACACTCATAATTTTAGCTAAATTAATAGTCTCATCTTTGATAAATAAGAATAGTTTAATCTCCAATAATTATTGAAAATTTAYAGGAAAAATACACAATTTTTGAAAATATGTTGGTAATGAAAAAAATACAATAATTACAAGAATACAATAAGTACAAAAAATATATTAACTTAGTCAATGAATAGTATAATCTCAAATAATAGTTTAATTTCTAATAAAAATTAATCAATAAGTTATAACAAAAATATAATAAATACAATAAGTACAATAAATTAAACTTAAAAATATCAATAATAGTAGTTTAATCTCCAACAATTATTAAAAGTTTTCTATTAAGTAGCAAAACAAAATAAATTTATACATAATCGTTGAAAATACATTTATCACAAAATACAATAAATAATTACTGAAATACAATAAATATTAATTTTAGTATATATAATTATATAATAAATACAGATTAAGAGTTTAAAATTATTATAAATAAATATTATTTTTTGAAAGTTATTTTCTCGAATTATTACTTGATATATTTGAAATCATTTATTTACAATAGTATGTAAAAATATTAAATTATTATTAATTTTAATATTATGTTATAATTATTTTTCTAATTTTCAGGATTTTTTTAAAATTTATTACATAATTTCTTTATTTTAACTATTTAAAATCTAGTTATGTTAAATATTTTGTTATTTAAAATATTTGTTTATTTAAATACTTAAATAATATGTAAAATATTTAAATTTTAAAATATGAGTTATTTATTGAAATCCATAAAGTCTTAATTTATACTATTATTACATATTTTCATTATTAATTTTGTAATATATTAAATTATTATTAATTTCAATATTATGTTATAAATATTTTCCTACTTTGAAGAAATTTTTTAAATTTATTACRTAATTTCGTTATTTTAACTATTTAAAATCTAGTTATGATAAATATTTAGTTATTTAAATATTTAAATAATCTATAAAATATCTAAAATCTTTTGTTATTTGAATTTTATATCCTGAAAATCATAATTTATACTATTATTACATAATTTCATTATTAATTTTGTTATCTTTTAAATTATTATTAATTTCAATATTATGTTATAAATATTTATCTACTTTAAAGAAATTTTTTAATTTTATTACATAATTTCGTTATTTTAAGTATTTAAAATATAGTTAAGATAAATATTTCGTTATTCAAATAATCTATAAAATATTTCAAATGTTTTGTTATTTGAATTTTATTTATTTAAAGCTATTACATATTATTAAATATTTAAAAAATATTTAAATTGGTAGTCCGGAAAAACATAGTTTAAATTGTTAGTACATGATTTTGTGATATATTTTGTAAAAATATATATATTTTTTTGTGTTTTTAATAAATATTTTAGTTATTATATAATTTTGTTAGAGTATTTAAATAATTTTTAAATGTTTGTAATCTAATCTTTCTTTAGATAGATATAGATAAAAAGTAGGGGAGAGGATAAATAGGAATTAGAGATAATTTGTAAGATAAATAGGAATTAGAGATAATTTGTAAGATAAATAGGAATTAGAGATAATTTTGGAGAAAGTAGGGGATAGTGTGGGAGGTAGTTTAGGAGAAATTTTAGGAGAAGTGATTATTTAAGTTATTGGGAAAATGCATCTCATTGGTTGTCTTGAAAATGACATATCATAAAAAAATAAAAAATTCAAAAGGAGGAGAAAATTTCTTGACCGCTTTGAATTAATGCATCTCATTGAATGAATGCATTTGAGGTGTTTTGACTCTTTACGTGATCATTTTCTGCCCCATCTGGAAATCCTGGCTCGGAAATTTTGGGATTGGGCCTTAGTTTTGTGATTAGGCTCAGCGTGGGTCTTAGTTTTGTGGTCAGGCCCTGCCTGAGCCTGGGTCCACTTCAGGCCTGCAATTCTCAGGGGCTGACCTGGGCCAGTGCTTTTGGTGGCCTGAAACAGGGCCTCTGCCCCTTCTTTTCATTTTCTTCTTTTATTTTAGTGTTTCCCCAGTTTTTGTTGGTCTAAAACAGTGGTGGAGCCCCTTGTTCTTTTTCTTTTTTTGGTCTAAAACAGGGACTCTGCTTCCCTATTTTCTTCTTAAGTTCTTTTTCTTTTCTTGGCCAAACACAGGGGCTACACCCCCTTGAGCTCTTCTTTTAAGTCTGAATTTCTATTTCTAATATCTTGTGTTGCATACCTTAAGCAAGACTGCAAGAAACACAGGGGCTACACCCCCTTGAGCTCTTCCCCGTACTCCAGTTCTTCCTGATTTTGATGCCGAACAGTCGATCACCTTCCTGATGTCTAAATCCCACCAAAAACTCCAAGAACTGTGCAATCTATAGCAGTTCGTTCAGCCCTTTACTACTTCATGCAGTTGGCTGATCTAGGACTGCATGAGAATGCTTCAAGAAACCCTAGCCGATGCTCTGATACCAAGTAGAAATCTGCTGAGTTAAAAAATATGAAAGAAAGTAGTTTCTTGAAGAGAGAAGGAAGAGAGAAAGAGAAGAAGAGAAGAATAGAAGTTGAAAGAAAAGAGAGCAATAATCTAGCCGCCCCCTTCACTTATTATTTATACTAAAATAATAGAACAGTACAAGGACAACTATGCCCTTATCGGGCGGCAGAACATAAAACAGCATGTATAACACTCAAAAAACATAATGAAATTTGGACTCACATAACTACTGTGGTCCCCACCTCCTATCTAACGACTAACATAAAACATCTACTCAGAAAAACATCATAAAACTAATTAATCTTCAACACTTATATCACTAACATTTGTTTTTCTTTACAGGATCTGTTAGGACCTATGGGATTAATGAGTTCTAATCCTCTTGAAAGACAGGCAGCAATAAGTTCTTTATCATCCTTGATGTCTATTACACCTAAGGAAACATACTTAGAATTTGAGAAGGTTTGATTCTCAGTTATTGCTTATCTTGGGTATTTTTTTTAATCAAATGGGCATAGTGATTCATGGTTGCTTGAAGCTGATTGTGACTTATTGTTCTTTTACAGCACTTGAACCATCTTCCTGATCTGTCTTTACATGATTCACTTTCAGAGAGCGAAATTCAGGTTTGACTTTTCATCTCCTTGATTTTATGTATTGGACTAATTTCTGATATAAAAATTATGCTTTTTACAGCGTGCTTAATTATTTTTTCATAAGTTTGTTAAGAATTGGATGATTGCAATAAATAAGTTCTTGTCATTTTTGGCAATTGGTATACCAGTCCTTGGGAAAACAATTTGGAAAATGCTAGCAAAGAGGGCTCAGGCATTTCCTTTTCTTTGGAATATTGCTTGTTTTTTAATTGATATATAATGTAATTCTCTTGTGTATTTTTTGATTGCTGTAAGGAAAAAATTTTCTAATGGCTATGAAAGGTAATAATTAAAATGAACCTCAACAACGTTGTTATTTGTTTATTTATTATATTCTTTATTGTTTTTTTTGTTATTATTTTTTGCTTTCAGTATTAGTTGCATTGGGTATTAAAGTAGGGACTACTGGAGGATTTAGAATCAGTAAGCAATGCTTTATTTTTGGTTAAATATTTCTTTTTTTCTCAGTCATGAGATTATGAAATTATATTTCAATTGTAAGCATATACGCATATATGGGTAATGACCCTATTTGTCATTTGTTGTACTTTTCCTTTAAAATATGTTTCTTTATATGGATGGTGTACCTGAACAAAATCCTCTGTAATGGTCCTATATCATGGGAGCAGATGGACTCTACTAAATGGAAAACGTGTCTGTCAGGGGCGGGGTGGATTCTAACATTGCATGGATTCTTCATGCACACTTCTGCGTAGCACACCCTTTTCTTCTCCCAGCTCATCTGACATAAATGAACAGATAATCTAGAACACGAGTACAACTTTTCTTATACAATGTTAAATAGTTATAAAGGCTACATTTTAGACCCTCTTTTTTCATAGATGTGTCCATGAGTCTGTTTTTTCTTGTCGCATGCTAGACTCTTGGGAATGTGTTGGCTCCAGTTTCTGTTTTTCTGTCCGTGCTATAATGTTTGTATTGACCTTTAACTTTACACTTCATTTTGATTGGTCCCCCAAATTATGGAGAAATGTATCAGTTTAGAAATCAGTGTCTAATGCTCAATATCATTCATGAGAAGTGACCTGGAGAATTAAGGTTTTAAACTCTAGAATCTGATTTGGTTGGGTTAATGACTCCTTCCCCTCCAATCCAAGCCAAGGTGAGACAAGGACACACACTGAAATAAGTGAATCTTTGTTGAGAGAAAGCAAACAGTCCTGGAAATCTGTCATTCTCAACACCGGAGAAAATTCTAAGATAACATCAAATTGTATGAAGACAGCTTTCTTTTCTCTTTTTTATTTCAGGTTTTTAGTCATTTCCTGAAGAGAAATCTTTTTGGGAAATAGTGGTTTCTTAAGGTGCAAAGTATTTTGCAGAAGATAATGCCGTTACATAAAATTCTCTTGGGGAATTTATAAGATTTATTTTCTTAGTATCATCTTTTGTTCTCCCAACCCTCAAGAAGGTTGAGGGTTGTTTCTCTACTTGGCTATCTTTTGGGTTTACTTAAAAATGCTGGCTTTAGGCAAAGCCAGTGTCCCCATCATTCTCCTCAGTGCATTGATGTCCCTTTTTTGGGTTTTGATCATAGATAGTCCTTAATTTTCTCAAGCTGATTTATCTTGTTCTTCTCATATCCACACAGATTTTCCACACTCCTGAAGGAATGCTCTCCAGTGAGAAGGGTGTTTACATTGCAGAGACTGTTGCTACTAAAAACACGAAGCTTGCAAAGGGTCGTTTTCGTGTTTATGATGACCAAGATGACATGGTAAGTTGTGCTTCTTTGCGATTTATGTGAAAGTGAGCTTCATTAAACAAATTAAATTAATAAAGCAAATCTTGATTGTAGATTTAATGATTGTTTTATCTCTGTTTAAGTATGCCTTTGTTTTTTTACCTGTTTTGAAGTATTTGTTTATAAGGTTGAATGGTTTTCAAGATGAGTGGATATAAATATTGTAAAGAAAGTTAACATCATGAGTCCAAATGACTGGCAAACAAATGGTAACTTTTGGTCCCCTGTACAGGATAATGTCAAATCTAATCATGCAGTGCAGCGTGAGCCTGCTAAGAGAGAAACTACTGCGGTTGGAAAAAAGGACTCTGGGAAGACAACAAAGAAAACTGGCATGATATCATTCCAATTGTTTTCATATCCTTTCTTTTGCAAAATCAATCATGACTTTTTCATATATTTTTCTTTCGATTTATATAGACAAGGGAAAATCTGCGAAGGAAGAGGCAAGGGAGTTATTACTTAGGGAGGAGGCATCTATTCGTGAGAAGGTTAGCGGTATACAGAGAAACCTCTCTTTGATGCTGAGCGCTCTTGGAGAAATTGCTGTTGCTAATCCTGTATTTACACACAGCCAGTTGCCCTACCTGGTGTGCTTCTAACCTATTGTCTTTTCCTTTTTTGTTATTTTATCACTGAATTCTAGTTTCCTGATGTGATATTCCCTTAGCTTTATAGTTTACAATCATTCCCCTCCCATTGTTATACCATAGCAGAACTTCATTAGTGGTTCTATCTCTGGCAGTAAATTTATTGAGGTTCATTTCTTTCTTTTTTTTTGAATATAAATTAAGAAGATTCATTAGTGGTTCCCTGTTCACCCCTTGTTTGGACTAACATCCTATTTTCTGTTCTGTTGACCCATACTTTGTTTTCTTCATATCAGGTTAAGTTTGTTGACCCTTTACTGCGGTCACCAGTAGTAAGTGACGCCGCATTTGAATCCATGATAAAGCTCTCAAAATGTGTGGCGTCACCTCTGTGTAACTGGGCTCTTGATATTGCTGCTGCTTTGCGCATAATTTCAACTGTGGAAAGGCATGCCATCTGGGGGCTATTTCCTTCAATTGGTGAAGGGGAATCACAAGAAAGCCCATCAATGGGACTCTTTGAGAGAATAGTTCAGGGTTTATTGACATCGTGCAAAAATGGACCTCTTCCTGTGGACTCCTTTACTTTTGTATTCCCGGTAAGGTTGCCTTGTTGTCATTATCGTATTTGATGTTTGCTGACAATGTCTATATACCATATTGCTAATGTCCATGTCAATTTAAATTTTTGTTGTCAGATTATGGAGCAGATATTGTTGTCTTCTAAGAAGACAAGACTTCATGATGATGTTCTGCGGATACTTTCCTTACATTTGGATCCCATATTACCTCTCCCTAGGATTCAAATGCTATCAGTTATCTTCTTCAGCTCTTGCCTGTGTATTGTGTTTTATTCTTATTTTTTTATTAAGCATTTCTTGTATTCTATGTTCCTTGTCATCTATTATGCAGGTTCTCTACCATGTTCTTGGTGTTGTTCCAGCATATCAAGCATTAGTTGGACCAATGTTAAATGAGTTATGTCTGGGTTTACAACCAGAAGAACTAGCACCTGTGAGTGTGATTCTTTTTGAATTTACTTGAACTAGTTGCTCTTGTATATTGTGATACTGTTATTTGATTTCTTTTATACAATTTAAACAGGCCCTTTGTGGAGTATATGCCAAAGATGTCCATGTGCGGCTTGCCTGCCTAAATGCTATAAAATGTATTCCTTCTGTTGCTAGGCGTTCTATTTGCCAGGATGTTGATGTTGCAACAAGCATTTGGATTGCCCTGCATGATCCAGAAAAGGTTAGTCATCTTAAGTGATAAACCCTAAAAGAATGGGGAAGAGGCGAACTTGATAGTTAAGAATATGCATTCAGTAAGACTGCATACGAATTTGTAATTAATTACTGCTTTGTTTTTATAATTGATTAGTGCTTTGTTTTGTTTTGTATCAGAACCTTTTCTTACTCTCGTGGTAGTCTTTTTAATCATTTTGGTGTTATGATTCCTATTATTTATTTGCATGTGTAAGGTTTATGTGTTTAAATTTCCACACTATTGGTAAGGCCTTTTCTGCTTTTCTCTTGTGCAAGAGTATGCTCTTTTTTTCTTCCACTCACATCCTGTGTCATTGGGACTAAAGTTTGAAGCTAAAAAATTCTGAARGATTATTAAATGTTTAATTTTCAGAGGTCATTTAAATTCCAGCCTGGTTTTTAATTTTCAATGAGAGTTCACTGTAATAGTTTGTACTTTAGGAATCTCAAAGTTCCTTCGTAATTTTTCATTTGTTAGTGTTTTTTCTTCTTTTCATTCTATAGAAGGATGTCCCAATTGCCTACTCTACATATTGAGTTCTTAGAAATGGTTACATTGGTAGCCCAACTTATTAATTATTAATGAACCAAACTTGCTACTGACAATAATGTGTCAATTTGTCAATTCCGTGATTTGCTCAGGAGATTGATATAAATGTTGGTGAATATGGTATAGAAAGACCAATAAAAAAATCAAGGAAGAAAGAAATGAAATAGAAATTGATATAAATGTGGGTGAATATGGTATAGAATTGAGGGAGCTCTGTGCCAAGAGTTTCATTTTTGAGTGTGGATTGTCATCTCCTTTGTTGAGTATGGGAGAAAAAGAGAGGCACATAGTAGTGGAGGAGGGTCACTAGCAATGGCCATCTGGATAATGTCACATGCAGAAGGATGATGGGGCTTAGAGATGCACATGAAAGGCTTGGTGGTTTATTAGTTTGGGTGATACTGTTTTTTTATTAGAAAATTAAACATAGAATCTATTGACTAAAAAGAAGTTTAATAGCATTGGTGCCTCTTAATCCTTAAAGTAAGAAATAAAGGATAGAAAAAGCATTTGTTGATGATGCACAATATATCGGTTGTAATGATATTTGCGTTGTTTCAACTTCCTCCATTCTAGTAATTTTGTATATCTCATTGTATATCCCAATGGTATTTTGAAGATCACTAAGGTAATTCAGGAAACTTTTTATTGAGAATTCAAGAAATGCCTCCTTTAATGAATCCTAAAGCTCATTATCAAGGCTCAAAATTTTTTCATGTATAGGGGCATATTGTGTTGTTGTGGCTCCGATACGTGAAATGCTAGGCTTTTTTAAATCATGGTTTAAAATGTTGGTGTTGGTGGATTTGCAGGAAACAAGTTAAAATGTCTAAATTATCGTATGGAAATATTCTAAAGATTATAGACATGGTGGAAACATTCTAAAGTTTTGCAAAAATATTGAACGATGTTTGATGAAATGTTAAAAGCATAGGCACAAGCTTTTTAATTTATATTGTTCCAAATCTTTAAACAAAGCTAAGAAACTAGGTTATAGACAAAATAATACGCTGTTAAGTTGTCCTGTAAACCTTAAGATTCAAAACTACATAATAGAGCGAGTTCAAGCAAAATTTGAACTCATGGCAAATGGAAATGATTCTAATTGATCAACCAAGTAATCTATTACACAAACAAAAACTCATATTTAGCTTCATTTTTGAAATGGATATTAGTTGGCTAAAAATGGTAATCTTGTACATTAGGCAAGCAAAGGAGCAATAGCATAACTACTCCACTTATCTACAATGTTGTCACCAACTTTATGTTATAATACTATGTCTTGTACTCCACATGGTGTTGATAGTGTTCACTACGGAATATGTTGATTCCATTAATATTTCGTGTCGCTACCCATTGAAATTGAAATATGTTGTGAACATATTCGGAAATTTATGGACATTTTATACCATGTTGTATTAAAGTTTGATGTAACCAGTGTGTAGGCCTTGCTTAGACTAGCACTTATGGAATTTTGAAAAAAAAACTAAAAAAATAGGGACCACAAGGTTCAAAGTATTGATGCAGTCCATCCAGCGTATTCGGGTGTATTGATATTTTGCAGCTTGCTAGGAACCCAGAAGAGGTTTGGGTTTGTGTGGCGACTTCATCTAAGAATGTGAAGAAAGTTTCGAAGTGCTGAGAGATGGGAAAAACAAGGGGGTATGGTTATGAGGGCTGCAGACAAGTGGGAAGGATCAGAGAATCCTCAAAGCTCGGTTCAACGTGAGCAGGTGCCCATTCCTGGTGAGCTGATTGATGGGAATGTTGAGGTTCAGAGGTTGGACTCAAAGCGTCAGGTAGGTACTGTGTTTTACTTTGGTTCTTTTTTGGTTGAGTTTCAAAATGGAACAGATAAGGGGGGTATTTCTTCTCTGATTGACCGAGATAGTGATTGTTTAGTTCAACGGGGGGGGGGGGGGCAAAATGGTGCATGTGGTTGATAAAGTGGAGGAGATAGATGAGGGGGAAGGGAGCATTGAGAAATGGAGGAGAGGAGGGGAGGTTTCTATAATGGCTGAGAATAAGTTACATGAAGACTTCTGTAGTGCCGAGGAGGTGGGTGAAGAGGGTGTGTATGACCAGCCAGAGGAGTGTGACGAGTTACTGAATTTCGATGTTCCGATTGGAAGACTCGGAGTTGATCTAGGGTGGAAAATGAAATCTTCGATCAATCATGGAGTTGCTGGTGATACGGAGGTTTTGAAAAATGCTCTGGTCTGTAGTAAGTCTCTCATAGTTCGTGTCACTACGCCATTTTCACGACTGAAAAAGAAGGTTTAGTTGGAACATGCCCCATGAAGAAGTTTAAGAGCATCTACAGGAAAAGAGGATCAAAGGTTAAAGCTTTGAATAAGAAGACTGCTGGGGGAGAGGATTTGGGGTTCAGGATTCAGTCGGTGTGGAGTCCCAGATGTTGGTTTCTCAGGAAAAAAGTTCTTTACTATTTTCGGGGCTAGAGAAGAACAAGAAAGGAGGCTGCAACGGTGAGAAGGGAGATGGTGAGGAGATTTTAGTTAGAAGGTGAAGATTAAAGGAGTGGAGATTGAGAGTTTGCCTGAGAGGAACCTAAAGGTGGGAAAGTGTTTAGACCTGTGTTTTTTTGGTGTGGAAAGGACTTTGCAAGAAGAGCATTTGGAGTTTTTGAAAAAGGGCAGGATGGAAGAAAAATTAAAGAGTAACTTAGCAGGGGTAGGGGGAGAGGTATGCAATGAGGAAGGAGATGGTCAGGAAGAGTTTTTTTTTTTTTTTGAATTAAAAGACTAATGAAGTGTCAGAAGGGGAGGATTTTTAGTGTTTCTTCTTGTATCTTTTTTAGTTTAATTTTGCTTCGTAGTTTGAAGCTTGCTTGTTATTACAAAAATGTTTTTCGACAACAACGRCGCGCCAAACACATTTAAGTACCATTGCTGTATTTTTTTGATTTGGACAACTATTGCAACAAAATGCTTGTGGTATGCTACAGTGCAAGTCATTAAGTCCATCAAACTAGCTTTTGAATCATTAATTTAATGTTCTAAGTGATAGTTTTTGTGAAAGTCCACATCTGGCTTTTTACTGCAGAGTTTGTGTGTTGGCCTTTGTCTATGGAGGGAGTCTACTAGTGGTTGGACCACTCAGTTTCAAGGAGTTTTTATTCAGGGTAGGCAAAATTTGGATCAAATCTTGATTGCTAATGAATATGTAGAGGAAAAGATGAGATTTAGGGGGAAACATTTGGTGTGTAAACTGGTTACTAAAAGGCCTATGATTTGTGGGTTAGTCTTTATACTTGAGTCTTGAGAAAGTGTAGGTTTAGGGAGAAATGGTGTAAGTGGATTTGTGGATGTCTGTATATTTGTCACTCCTTAGTGCTAGTTAATGGGGTTGCTGAAGATTTCTTCTAGCTATTAGGGGAATTTAGAAGAGGACCCACTTTCTCCTTTTGTCTTTACCCTTATAGTTGTGAAGGTGACAAGAGCCCTTGGAGGGTTGCTTTGCCAAATCGCCAAGCAGATTTATATATGGTGTTATTAAATACTTGTATATTCTTAATTTTTTTTGAGATTATAATTTTAAAACAGTCATTATTAAACTTAAATATTCATTTTGTGTGTTTATATAATAGTTTATTTTTAGTATTTTCTTATTTGATAGGGTTTAATCAATACAGATGTTGCTAAATGATGTTTTGAACCCTCAAAGACTTCAAAACCTGAACCATTAAGTAGGGAAGAACTTAATAGTTGTCTAATCAACACGTTTTCTTCTTTCACCTTTTCATTTCTTCTTAACCTATAACAAAATTAGGGGTTCAAGAGATAAAGAACTATAATTAGCCAAGAACAACCTTATTTGCTAATAATAATATTGCTCAGTCATCCTTTAATACAATATGTTTTTCAAGAGATAAAGAGCTATAATTAAAATTATTAAATCAATCTTTGTGCTCTGGTTAAGAATTTAGGACCTTAGCATGGTCTTGTATGGGATTGCCTCAGAGGACTTGGTACAAAGGCAGCTTGTAGAATTAGAAATGCAAGATCTTTAACATCACAGCAGCTATTTTAAATAATGTGATTGGAAATGAAATAAAGATATTGAAAGCTTCACATTCATGAATAAGTTTTATATTGCCAAGTTTGATTTGATTTTATTTTTTTGATGAACATTGAGTGATTTTATTAAAAAATTAGAAGCATAAGAGATACACAGAGAAAGTTCCCAAAAAGAGGCACAAGATGCAGCCTCAGATCAAAACAAAGAATTACAGTTTAGCCCAAAACATCTGATTCCTACGCACAGCTTGTGAGTCTACTAATCCATTTGTTGATCTTCTTTCCCATTGGAAGTGGACTGACATTTTTGTAGTTAGCCAGTTGAATCTTCGTAAAGCCCCTTTATAGGACCAGGCTGCTGTTTCTGGTTCTTTTAACATCTGGATCACTTGCTTGCTATCACCTTTGATTAAAAGCTGTTCACAATTCAGTTCTTTTGGAAATTCATCTCCTTGTAGCACTGCTTGAATTTCTGCATTAACTGAATACTTATGTTTGTGTATTCTATTTTTGCTTTTTAAGACATTTAGTTTAAAATTTAGGGTTTGCAGTTTTCTTAGTATTATTTTAATTTATTTTTTTTGATTCCTGTTGCTTTTTTTTGCATTTTTTGAATTTGTTATAACTTCACACATTGCTTCAAAATGGTGTGCACCTGGCCTTGTGTCTTGTGCCTTGGGCATGAAAGGGCCCTTGCGTTTCTTTTGCACCTTGTGCTTTTATAAGACTGAATCTATTATGAATCCTACAATATGTGGTTCAGATTCTGGTCCTGTACTGGTTTGGCCTGTATTTCCTTTGCCACCCTGTAATGTTTGTTGTTAGATTTAAAAACTTTTTTCTTTATTTATGTTGTTACAATGCTGTCAGCATAGACTGCTGTCAGCATGTTCTTTTCTTTGTATTAGGGTAAGCCAGGGGCCTAATTGCACTTTCTTATATTTGTTATAACATTTTAAATAAAAGAGGAGCTGTAGCCGCTAGCTCCAAGATTTTGACTCCCACATTCTTTCTCTTCTTCTTCTTCTCCTCTTCTCTCTTCTCTCTCCTTGTTTTCTTGTATGTTTACATGGTATCAGAGCGACACTCTAGGCAATAGGAATTGTGGTTTTCTCGCTGAGAAGTATTCACTCAACCTAGGTGCCTGTTTTCTTGGACTATGAAGACAAAAATACTCAGCCGGACTGATTAGAAATATCTCTTGGCACTTCTTTTGGGTTCTTCCTTTGTTGTAGCACCATGGTAACCTAAACTTCTGTGAAGCTCCATCGACTGATGTTGTGAAGACCTAAACTTCATTTTTTTTACCTTCGGCTGAGTCTGTGAAGGCTTGGCTCCATCGACTGATGCTGTGAAGACCTAAACTTGTTTTTTTTTTTTGACCATTGGTTGAGGTTATGAAGGCTTGGCTCCATCGGCTGATGCTGTGAAGACCTAAACTTTTTTTTTTGACCTTCGACTGAGGTTGTGAAGGCCTAGCTCCTTCGACTAATGCTATGAAGGCATAAGCATCCTTTTTTTTGACCTTCGGTTGATGCTGTCGAAGACCTAGTTATGTTTTTTTTGCACCTTCGTATAAGTTCTGTACAGGGATGTGTGATCCCCTTTGTCCAGGTATGTGCTAGAATTGGTGTATGAAGTGTGAAGTACAACAATATTCTTCTTCTTCATGGTCTATGTTTTGAACTGTTTTTCCCTGCCTCTCCTCAGGGAGAGAGTAATGTGGAAGAGAAGCAGGCTCAGGTTTGTCAAGTCTCCCTTCCATCCATTCTGTATATCGCTCCTTTTCGTGTCTTCCAATGTCAACGTTGTAGAGATCAGCAATGTGACAGAGGTGGAGCTACCAAACACTGAGCAACCAACACTATTTGATTCCCAGGAGGCAAGTCCATCACCTGTTGATCCCATAGCCCCTATTTCAGTTGTGGATGACCTTGACATTCCCATTGCTCATAGAAAAGGGGTCAGGTAATGCACTACCAAACATCCCATTACCTAGTATGTGTCCTATGACCACATTTCCCCCTCTCACCGGGCCTTCCTATCTGTAGTTGATAGTATTTCCGTACCCAGAAATGTGGCAGAAGCTTTAAAACACCCTGAATGGACAGATGCTATGAAGGAGGAGATTAATGTCCTTCACAAGAATCAAACACGGGAGTTGGTGGATCTTCCAACAGGGAAAGACCTAGTGGGGTGTAAGTGGGTGTTTACAGTGAAACACAAGGCAGACAGGACAGTTGAAAGGTACAAAGCAAGGCTAGCTAAAGGGTACACCTAAGTTTATGGTGTTGATTATGATGAGACATTTGCCCCAGTATTCAAGATGAATTCAATACGGGTTCTTCTATCATTGGCTGCAAACCTTGATTGGAAATTGCATCAACTGGATATTAAGAATGCCGTTTTAAACGGTGATCTGGAGGAGGAGGTGTACATTGTTCAACCTCTTGGTTTTTGTGCCAAAGGAAGTGAAAGTAAGGTGTTCAAACTAACAAAGTCTCTCTATGGTCTAAAACAATCTTCTCGAGTGTGGTTCAGTAAATTTCATATGGCAGTTCAACAAGTGGGGTTCAAGCAATGTTAGTTTGATCACACTCTCTTTGTGAAGAGATATTAAGAACAAGTGGCTGTGTTGATAGTGTACGTAGATGATATCATCATTACAGGAAAATGGAGCACAAAAATAAAAAGTTGAAGGAATTCCTTGCCTCTCAATTTGAAGTGAAAGATCTGGGCCCCCTAAAGTACTTTCTTGGAATTGAAGTTGCCCGTTCAAAAAGGGGCATCTTCGTCTCTTAGAGGAAGTACTTTCTTGGAATTGAAGTTGCTTACTAGTTGAGGTCCTAAGCCAATTCATGCATTCCCCTAAAAGACAACACATGGAGGCAGTAGAGAGGATTCTTAGGTACTTGAAGAAGTATCCAGGAACAAGGTTACTATTTGGCAAACATAATTATTTGAAGGTGGAAGTCTACATGGATGCTGATTGGGCAGGCGCTGTGGATGATAGAAAATCCACAAGTGGGTACTGCACCTTTGTAGGGAGAAATCTAGGGACATGGAGAAGTAAGAAGCAAAGTGTAGTGGCAAGATCAAGTGCTGAAGCAGATTATAGAGCCATGGGACATGGGGTGGCTGAAGTTCTTTGACTGAAGAACCTTTTAGGAGAACTTGGGGTTGCTGTCCACAACTCTATGTCCCTCTACACTGACAATAAGGCAGCCATTAACATTGCTAGTAATCCAGTCCTACATGATAGGACCAAACACATTGAGGTAGACAAGCATTTCATAAGAGAAAAGTTGGAAAAGGGAGAAATTTGCACCCCTTGTGTCAAATCCAAGGAGCAACTTGCTGATGTTTTCACAAAAGGACTTCCACACTTGCGGCATAATGAGCTGTGTGACAAGTTGGGTATGATAGATATATTCACCCAACTTGAGGGGGAGTGTTGTTAGATTTAAAAAGTTATTTCTTTATTTATGTTGTTACAATGCTGTCAGCTTAGACTTCTGTCAGCATGTTCTTTTCTTTGTATTAGGGTGAGCCCCAAGGGCCTAATTGCAATTTCTTATATTTGTTATAAGTTATAACATTTTAAATAAAAGAGGAGCTGTAGCCGCTAGCTCCAAGATTTCGACTCCCACATTCTTTCTCTTCTTCTTCTCCTCTCCTCTCCTCTCTCTTCTCTCTCTTCTCTCTCTCTTCTCTCTCCTTCCTGTTTTCTTGTATGTTTACAATGTTATTGGTCTTCCCACTGGTCTTGAACTGGTCTGTCCTGAACTTAGGTCTTGAAAGAGAATTGGGCTTCTAAATAAACTATGTATGTTTTTTTGTGGGACTCACTGGGTTCCATGGTTAATAGTTAGTAACATCTGATGTCCTTTAAATGCTAGTACTTTGAGGATGCTTTTACTGCACTATTTGGTATTAGGACACTTATTATGTAGCTAATTGCATACAATATTCATGCACAGTAATGTCAATCTAGCTGTTTTAGTAGTTAAACTAAAATCATTTGATATTTATCATCTTTTTACTTGGGGTACAAGTCGGCTATCCAACTTGAATAATTGCCCATTCAAATTTTGGCAATTGTTCGACCCGAGCCTGCCCAAGTTGCTGCTCTACTATTTACCTTTTATTTACTCTGAAATGTTGAACAAGGTTGTTATGAACTCTAGATTATAACTCTTATGTACTCTTCTTTCCCCTAATATATTATTTTAAATAACAGGATGAAAAGGTTCATATCAGATTTAATTACACTGTTTGGTTTTGCAGTGTAGAATATGGGCTTTTATCTCTTGTTATGTCTATAATATGCAGGAATATGTTTTTGGTTTTTTTTTTTCAGGTTTATGTCCACTAGTTGGTTTTAGTTTTGATTGAGCATTACCATTTTCATAGTTGGTTTTGTTATGTGTTCCTTTGATTGCTCTGAATTCCTAAATTTGGTATCCTTGACCAGTTAGTCTCTGTGTTGTTGTCTTTTCAGTCAGTTGCAGAGGCAGCTGAGGAGATATGGGATCATTATGAGAATGATTTTGGTACCGATTATTCGAGACTTTTTGCTGCACTTTCTCAATGCAACTATAATGTCCGTTTAGCAGCTGGTGAGGCAATTGCTGCAGCCTTGGATGAAAGTCCAGAGACTATCCAGGTTATATTTTGGTTTTCTATCTTTTGATTTGATTGTATTCAATCCTTGTGATTTCTCATGTTGTACCTTCTTTTTGTAGGAAACTCTTTCAACATTATTTTCTTTATATATCCGTGACATTGGTTCTGGAGGGGACAACATGGATGCTTGTTGGCTTGGGAGGCAAGGAATAGCTCTGGCATTACATTCTGCTGCTGATGTCCTTAGTACGAAGGACCTTCCTGTTGTCATGACTTTTCTCATTTCACGAGCTCTGGTAACCATTGGTTTGTTGTAATGCTGAAAGATTTTAAGTGATTTTTAATTGTTGTGCTTCACTCCCTTTGTTTTGAAGACAAATTGGGGAGCCTTACTGTTGAAATTTTGGTGATACTTTATATCCTTGTGAGACTTTTTGGTTCAGTATATTTAGGAGAAAGTTATTTAATGTTCTTTATGCATTTCTTCCTAGTTTTTCCAATGTAAACGTATGTTCAGAGGATCTTTCCATTGGTATCCTGGCACAAGGTTCAGAGTATTGATACACCGTGATACTCTTGTAGGGGTGTATCATTACTTTCCACCACACACCTTGTTTTTAACTTTTTTTTTTTCAAAAAAATGTCGGACCACAGGGTGGTAGGTCTTAGCTCTGCCTACCCCCTGAAATAGGTCAAACTCCCAAATGAAAGGTATTTGGTGTATTGATGAGTCACGATATGGCCCGATTCTTGACAAAATTCTGAAATTTGTCCTGGCATAACATTCAGTCTTTGTTTCTGTATGTATCTAGCCTTATGTCATTCTGATGACATGACCTTTATCTAGTATATGCGTGAAAAACTCACAAATGCACTTGCTCTCACCCCTTGTATGCAGATTCATGGTGTGTTACCCAATTGTAAAAATATTTCAGTAATGAAAATTAAATTAAGGATTCCTATTAGGGACTTTATTGAGAGCTACCCTAGCAAATTTACCGGTCTATTTCCTCTATATCTTTAGGATTCCTATTTGGGAAGCTAAGAAGTTGGAGAGGATAATGTGATCTTTTTTGTGGGAGCCTGGGCAGGAAAAGAAAGATCTTCTAATCAATTGGGAAATAGTTTGTAGGAGTAAAGAGGAGGGTGGACTGTTAGTAGGAAGGTTAGCTCTAAGGAATAAAGCTTTCTTAGGGAAGTGGTTGTGGAGGTGGCCTAGAGAAAGGGAGAGATTGTGGCATGAAGTGATGGATAGTATACATGGCAGACCAGAAAATGGTTGGGATGCGGGTGTATGACGTCAAGCTACGTTGGCATCTCCTTGGAAAGCAATTTAGAGTGTCCTCCCTCAGTTTCTCAACTTGGTCAGGTATGATGTTAACTTTGGTGACTATTTTATTTTGGGAAGATACTTGGGTGGGTATTGTTGCCCTTAAGGACAGATTCCCGGCTCTCTATTCTCTTTCCCTTTACAAGGAAAAAACTGTTTCTCATTTTCTTCCTTCTATTACTTCACCCTCTTCGTTAAGCTGGGAGTTTGGTTTTAGGAGAGGTTTGAGGGATGTTAAACATAGTAGTGCTTCAGAATTGTTGTCTCTTCTTGGCAGTGTCTTTCTGGACCCTCTTTGGTCGGATGTGAGACTATGGTCCCCTCATCCAAAAGGTTTTTTCACTTGTGCTTCCTTTTTTAAGTCCCTTTGCCCCTCCATGGGACAGTTGGGTTTCCCTTCTAAGGAGATTTGGTTCAGACCTATTCCTCCTAAAAGTATAATTTTCTGTTAGGAGGTGTTTTATAGAAAGATCAATACTTTGGATTGCTTGCAGAAGAAAAGGCTTTTCATGTGCTTGTCCCCTAATTGGTGTGTACTTTGTAGGGCTAGTGGTGAGGATTGCTCCCACCTATTTGTATCTTGTTCATTTTCTAGTGCTATTTGGAGTTGGATMTTTTCTTTGTTTGGATGCAGGTGGAATTTGTCCTCAGAATTAAGTCAGCTGTTCGATCCTTTTTTTTTTGTGTGGCCTACAAAAAAAGGAAAAACGATGTGGAGATGTATTAGAGCAGCAGCCTTGTGGACAATTTGGGAAGAAAGGAATGCTAGGGTGTTCAAAGAAAAGGAAAGAAGCTTACAAACTGTTGAGGATTGTATACTGACTAGAGCTATTCATTGGCCAAGAACTTTGGACTTCTTTCATACGTTTTCCTTTGATGACATTTGGTGTAACTGGAAGGCGGTATCCACTAGTCATACGAGGAGGGACAAGGCAGCTGCAGTGTGGAAGCCTCCGCCTGAAGGTTGGGCAAAGCTGAATTTGATGGTAGTCGCCAAGGAAACCCAGGCCTTTTGGGGATAGGAGGGGTGCTGAGAGATAGAGAGAGCAACATTTTAGCTTTGTTTTCAGGTCCTGTGGGAATAGGAGACTCAAATAGAGCAGAGATCTTAGCGGCTGTACAAGGCATCCAGATTGCTGAACAGTTAGGAGTTCAACACTTGATAGTTGAAGAAGACTCTTAAATTCCTTAGCGGATGGACTAGCTAAGCAAGGGGTTTCAAGGGATCATCTGTTTTGGGCTGCTATGTAATTTTATTTCTGTTTATTTCTGCTTATCCGGTTCTTAATTGATGTAATACTTTGTTAGAAGAGGTAACAGCACATGCCTCTCCTTCATGGGTTTCCTGTATTGCCTTATATTCTGAATTAATAAATTATTTTCATTCATAAAAAAAAAACTTAATGCAGAGAAATACATGCATGCATGCATGCATGCTTGCGTAGATATACACTTATTTTTTAAATATTTTTAGATTGATTGATCCAAGTTTACCCGTTGTTGAACTGTGTGTCCTGGAAGAATAGATGGGATGAAGCATTTCTATAGTTTAACTGATGGTTTACTTGCCATAAGATTTTTCAAGAAGATAGGTTTCAATTCCTTTCTTGTACATGGAAATCTTTTTGTAAAGCATGGTGGGGGCTATTGTGCTGCCATGGCAGATTTTATATGGTCCCTGTATATATCATCTTGTTGTACATGTTAGTTTTTATATTAATGTAATCATAATTTACCGTCTCTCTCTCTCAAATTAAGAAAAATACAACTGTCTTTTTTGAGTTTTTTAATATTACATAACTGCTTTGGGTATGTGTTTGGTGGGTGGTCTCAATTATCTTTCTATAGTTTGGCTAGCTGTGAACTATCAACCTTTTGTCATTCTTTTTGGCTGATTATTTCATAGGGGCATTAGGTAACCTTTTATTGGATTTTTTATTTATTCATTTGTTTTTGATGAATAATTGAAATATCATCAAGTGAAGAAGAAAAGAGCAAGCCTGATCAAATGACGAAAGGAAAACATAAAATCAGGCCAATGCCTGGTCCAGTTGCTCTCTTTGTTGGCATGATTGATTTGATGTTTCCACTTTTGTTGTGACTTGAGTTGTAAAGTGAATTGTTCAGCAAGCTTGTTGTTATACTTGTTAAGTTCTGTCAATGTGCAACTTGGTTTCATCTGTATTGCTTATTCTTATGAAGGCACTTATCTCAGAAATGATTACTGGATAATATGGTTTTATGCAGGCTGACCCAAATACAGATGTTCGTGAAAGAATGATTAATGCTGGGATCGTCATAATTGATAGGCATGGAAGAGATAATGTGTCTTTGCTATTTCCTATTTTTGAAAACTATCTAAATAAAAAGGTTTGTCATTCTTAAGCTATGACTGAAGTGTTACATGTCCTTGGGTAAAGAACGATTATCTGTGCACTTCCTTTAGTGTCTTATCTGACCTAATTGTTCCAGTTGTTATCACTGAGAATATTAAATATTAATCAGCTGGATGGTTTCATTGAGATATATTATTGTGCAGGCATTGGATGAAGAAAAATATGATTTAGTACGTGAAGGAGTTGTTATTTTTACCGGAGCTTTGGCGAAACATTTGGCCAAGGTGAGAAATTTTTTATTCTGTGCTTTCGAGATTGAAATATGTTACTTTTATGACAAGTCCTATTTAATATTTCGTGGAACAGGATGATCCTAAAGTTCATACTGTTGTTGAGAAATTGTTGGATGTATTAAACACTCCATCAGAAGCTGTACAACGTGCTGTCTCTACCTGCCTATCTCCACTGATGCAGTCTAAGCAAGTATGTGTCAGTTATTCAACATACATATCTTTGATGTGCTAGTTTATTTCAATATTTCCTGTCTAGGTGTAAAATGGGCCAGATATGGGCAACTCAAATAGGTAATTTGCATATGAGAATGGCATTGAACTCATGCCCTGAGGTTCAATCTTTGATAATAACCAAATTCTATGCATTTGAAATTCTGATTATGTGAATGGGATTGAAAGTTATTTTTAACAAAAATAATGTTGAAGAATGCCCAAAATAAAGGAGAAGCAATAATTATTGTATCAGTAATTGACAACAAATTGATCATCATCATCTAAGCCTTGTCCCAACATGGGTTTTTCTTCATGAATCTTGTTTTGGCATTCCATTCTGTTCATTACGTATCCATCGTTAAATTATGGGTGCTTAATTGACACAGCRTGGAAGCACTGGAAACCGGAGCTGGCTACGCAAGCACCGGGTGATCGCTTGCTTCTAGTGAAGAACACCGATTTCTCTAGGAGAGAGAAAAGGTGGCGAAAATAGGAAGAAGAGAACTTGAAGAAATTCTGAAAAATCTGAAGTATGAATTGATTAATAATTCTGGGAAATAGCAGTATTTATAATACATTGAGAAATTTTAAAATAATTAGGAAAGAACATGGATCTTGATCTTGATCTTGATCCTCTTGAGCTGTCTTGATAAGGTCGAACCCTCTTAGAATTCTTGGGCTTGATCTTCCACCGTCCGATCTCCCTAG